TGAACTAGGTAATTGGATTTGTCGCAAAATAGATATAACGGTTTCAATTAGGAAACTGGTTTTCCTGTTACTTAATAGTTTCATAAGCGAATTATAAACTTGAAGGAGAACAATTTCAACGTTGACAACGTAATTAAAACCGATCATTAAAACTTCTGGCATGAACTTGGACATTGTAACAATATCCACACGAGAAACGTACAGTTAGCATATGGTATATTATTACATGATGTCAGGTTTGACAAATGATGCTTCTTTCACGAGGCATAAATTAAAATAGGAAAAAGAAATCCGTTTGTCGCATAAATTAGTGTTTATTGACATTGTACCGGCTCACAAGAGAACTAAGGCTCTACTTGAACTATACTTAATCCATCGACCTGTAAGAGGAATTTACTAGTTGATCGCACCTAGTGCATTAAGGGGTTAAGAATGTGTCTTGTGACAAAAACGGGGATTTTCAGGGTTTCACTTGAAATGAAAACAAAGCGAAGTCAGGAAAAGCTGTTCCCAATATAAAAACTGAGCATATTCCGGTCACCAACATGGTCTTCTCGAGCATTTTCCGAACGTGATTAGTGCTCGCCTGCTTTGCGAAATTGGCTTTTCACGCAAGGCTATATTTTGGCGAGGCGGCTTTGCTTAAGCGAGCGGAGGATTTCAAATCATGCAGATTATTTGCTAATGGCTTGTCTGTCCTCAAAATGTCACGATATCATCATGATCAACGCTAGCTTTTAGTTCTTGATCAAGAAGTGGGTGTGAAAGTAAAACATGTAATCCTAAAGACGTTGAGCTATCCCCCAGAAGTTAACTGAACAGAACACGCACACTTTTAAGCTGTTTGTTACTAAATGTTACATTAATTTCAATTTGACTGTGCCGGTTGGCTTTGATATTCGTGGATTGAAGCACAGTTCGCTATTGTGTAAAACATCTGTAGAAAGGCTGAACAAATATTTGCCTTTGTATTATCGAGCACAGTTGTCTCAAAAGATCAAAGACTGCAATCAACACAAACCACATATAAATCGCGTAAAACACACAGCTGAAAGTCGAATATTGACTCACCTTCGCCAAATGCAAATGAAATCAAAACAACGACCACAGAAAGGAAGAGCTCATTATTTGCTTTGGCCATCATCGATAGAGCTGATGATTTAAGCATTTCCGCAGTGTTAAAATGTGATGACACAATGCGGGTTTCGAAGCATACCCTTCAACTTGTCAGACACATTTGGAAGCTAATGAAAACACACCGAATGACGAAGATATTGACGACAAGAGCTATTTTCACGCATGTGTCATTGCTCCACAATGGGGAACTTTCAGGGTCATTGAATTATCTACGAGATCTTTTGTTCGTCTGTTCTTACGTATATCGTGATCTTAAACTTACACCGTAATCTGTGATGCGCAATCATTTCAAAGAATGGATTAAAGTTATAGAAAACAATACTCACTTTTGACACTTTTATATTTCAACTTGTTAAAAAAGCTCAGTGACGAGCTGCGGCCTTAGTATGCCAAAAGTATGAAAAATACACAAAGATAATAACAAAAGAGCCATAAATGAGGATTTATTTTTGTCTAGCGTGAAAGCAACTATGATTTTTTTTTTAATTATATGACCAGACGACTACCATCAAGGATCAGTAGTTTTCAATGGAAAATGTCTTTGGGTTTTACGCCCTCTGTTGTTACTGAATCATTCACTTGGACTTTGTAATAATATTCTTGACCAGCCAATCGTTGAAACAGTACTACGTAAAAACAAGGGATACAGCTCCCTCAGCATGCCAAAAGAAACAAACAAAAGCAAAGCTTTAACAAACGAGCCCCCTCCCCCCCATCCCACTGATCAAACGAAATTTCTACCATCGTTAAATATAAAGCCGCTAGGCCTTCTCACTCCTTTCAGTATTCACACCCAGTCTTATGTTTCTGTTTGTTTCTCTGGGGTAGGCGGAGAATTTCGCAATACTGCGTGAAATTGAAAAATTCTTTGCGGGATGTGACGCACAAGATAACAATGGAGGTTATTTTTTTTTTCAATTTTGGCAAAGACCAGACTCGAGCGGGCGGTGGAGATCAAACCTAATGGACGCACGCAGAATGAAAACAATTCGAAAAAGCTCAAAACTTTGCCGGATTATAGGTCTAGGTGAGTTTTTTGTTAGAAAAATATTTCTGACTACAATCACATTTTTTGTAAGTGATGACGACGGCTTGACAACTCAAATGTCAGTATTCATCGGTACACCCAGCCCAAGACTTAGGTTTCTCCCCCAAAAATTGCCCATTTTTTTCTTGCTTTCCCACCGAATGAACAGAAGAACACATTTAAATGATGTTCAAATGTAGTGGTAAAAGTAAGTTATATAACCAACGAATTTGAATGATTGCTTGGCAATTTAACTTCAAACAAAATGTTTTAAGAATTGTTTATTTTTCTGATTATTTACCGATTTCAGGGAAACAAAACATAGGTCCGCAATGCGTACACGTGATGTGACTAACGAGTCATTCCGGTTATTCTCTAGCCTACGTGTAGCCGTACCCACCCCCCGAGGAAAAACGGAGGTCTTTCTTTTAGTAGTGGAAACCCGCAGAACGATAACTCGCCGAAATCGCGTTAGATCGGCCCGAGGAGCTGGCAAACAACAAAGAATACAACACAGCAACAGGGTAAGTAGATTTTATTCACAAAATATATGAATAATTGGCTTTTCAAGCAAAGCCGTTGCATACCCATACAAATCTTTATAAATTCAAACCGTTGTAACACAACACCTCCATATGCTGCAAGGCGGGAGTCATGTTTCGCGTGGTCAAATTCGGTCGTTATGTAATAAGACAAGCAATAAACTGCAAGGCTGATACTACGTGAAAAATGTTTCGAGACACCAACATGACAAGAACCGATAAAGTAGGATCGCAACAGTGGACANGCGATCGAAGAAAGTTAAACGAAGATCAATCACTGAATTGATTTCCAAAGATTAGTGAAGGCCATCGATTGCATACGTGTTGGCACCATACCGACAGAGAGTTGCAGAACTTCTTGTTTTAACTTATCATAATTAAAAGTCTTCGAATGGTATCGAGTGTTTTTATTGGTCTATGGTGAACAGTGTTAAATTAACTATTGCTGTGGTAGTCAGGGTTCAACGGTTTGGAGGAAAGCACCGTTACGGATCAAAAAATATAAACAAACAGCAGACATCAAATAGACCTTTCCCGCATTCCACTTCAGTGCGTTCGAACAATAGCACCAGAGCGAGGTTGGGGTGGACATTTTCATACATTTGCTGTATTTTTGTCCACCCTGACCTCGACTCGGCGCCATTGTTTGTTGGAATGCGGGAAAGGTCTATTTAGAATTGTCTGGAAAATTTGAATTATGGCCTTCTTAAGTTGAACACGAAGTCTGTTTTACGACAGTTTGGCTTGTTTTGTTTAAATTATTTAAAAATTACCCCGCGAGTTGTTTTTTTTTATGCGCGGTAGAAAATAAAAACAATTTCCTCCTAGCTTGGCTTTTCGAGTAGCTTCGAGTATTTCGTCATTGTCCGCCCAACGTGCGTAATTCCAGTACGGCTCTCTTCCAGGCCTTTACCATGTGACCCGAAACCCCGAAACTCATCTTGTTTCCAGTGTCTCTCTTTTTTCCGCCTTCAGCAATCTCGTCCCCATGGCCTTTTCCCTTACTCCGGAGACTGTCACGAGACTGGTAGAAGAGAGACCTTGAGAACGATGTTGTCGCACGTCAACTGTCAACTTCTGGGCCATTTGGGTCTTCAAGCGGTTATACTGACATGACTATAGCCGTCATTAGCAGACGAAAATTCTTACCGAGGCCAGGCCGGCAATATGCGTAGCCTCTCACAGGAGACCTGAAATAAATTATGATATGACATGAAAAGTTCAACGAGGCAAGAGCCTCGTGATTTGCCTGTTATTAGCTAAGGCCTTGCCATAATTTGCATTGTTATTTCGTTAAAGTCGCCATGGTGGCTCATAGCGAGTGTCGAATATCATGAATAATGACTCTTTGAAGATCTTGAATTATTCATGCACAAACAGAGTCATCAAAAGCCAATTATAACGGCGACATTTATGGACGGCAAGAATCCATTAAATGGACAATGCGTTCATCTTACTGAAGACATGATCAAGCAGTATTGGAATTCTGCTAGACAGCTAATGCAAATACTACAATCTGACTGCCTGCATGGGCTATCGTGCGCTATCAGCCATTAGTTAGCAGTGGAGATTACCTTAAAAATCGAGATCTTATCTCGTTTCTCCTCAGGTTCAGAGGACGATTTATCAATATTATTGGGTGAGTAGATTTACGAGGAGGCTAAAAAAAGGACAATCACCGGAACGTGACTTGAAATATTCCCTTTCGGCCTTTTAAGCTATCACCACATAGAAATCACAAGCTTATAATTGTTAATTAATTATTCAGCAGAGTTTAGAACACGCAATAAACTATAGTCAACAAATCGACATTTGATTACAGGAAGAATATAAACATGAGGAATTTTCATCAACATATTTTTAACTTTTTTAATTATTTGGTGGGAATCTGCTCGCCGTGAAAGTGATCAATTTAGAACATAGAAATGCTTTTTTCGCCAATATGTTTCAAAGCCAGATGATCGTTTAAGAGAAAGGTCAGTTGTACTACGTGTTATTTTCGGCAAAACATTTTTCTTCAAAAGTGGATCCCAGCTTGCGAATCTATTTTCAAAAATTAACATTTTTTTTGCAATATTGAGCTAAATTTAATAAATGTAGCAAATATTTCCTTAGCCGATTAACGTTGTAAGATGAAAGCCATGGCGATCTTTAAATGGCGGCAAAATGAATTTCGATTTGCTACCTCGTCTGATGTAATTTAGGGTTTTCCGGAGCAAAGAGGTTTCCTACAGAACAAATTTTAATAGTTCTTCTTCGTCACTGACCGACAATTTCCGCAAGTAGGTCAGCGTGAGAGGAGAACATCTGTTTTACTTTGCATCGAAGCTTCACCTCTCATTACAACTCATATTATGTGATTGTGGGCAGTTTTAATGACCCGGGATTGTCGGGATTAAAGCTCTTTCTGCTGGGTAAGTTGTTACTTGTGACAGCCAGGGTTCAACTTCAAGGATGACCGGAGGAAAATCGTCTGATTCAGTCAAGATAAGTTTGTTCTCAAAGAGTGATTAGGCCACAAGCTTATCGCTATCTTAAGATGCAGGAGAAGTCTTTTAGGTCGGGTTAAAATGATCACGCTAGAAGAAGGAAGTCATAAAACTCATTTACTTTCATCAGGAAATTATCGCTAGAACAAACATAATGAGAAATAATTGATTTGGTGTGAATTTAGCCGCATTAAAATGAGAATCCTCCAAAAACGTCATCTTTAGTAATTCGGCTTACAGATAATTAAGAAACTGAAAATCTTAATCCCTCAAAAAAAATCGCTCTTAGATGCCATTATGACACCTCTCGAAAGTATCACCCTACAACAAATCCGCTTTTTTTTTTGCCACTTGTGACAGAATTAGGGCTGGCGACACAGACAAATTGCTTTTGATCTTTCAAAAGATTAAGCGTCCTTTCGCGCGACAGAACTTGCTGATATATTCCAGTATAAATTAGTTTAAAATAGGATCCTTGTAACTGAGCTCTGCTTTTATTGGGCAATTGCCGGTTTCAAAACAGCTCAGTACAAGGCAAGACTAAGACGAAAGTTGAGTGTTGGGAAGAAAACAGAGAGGTTCATTTGAGAGGTTTTCAGCGATTTTTTTTGTGGTGTAGTGTTTCCTGGTAGTCAAGTGGATTAAGAGATATGGGACTTGGATGAACACGCAAGCACGTGTGAAAATTCCCCGCCGGTTAATGACACAATCATTTGTTCGGCAAGCCCGCGATAGCGGTCATTTATTATTCCATTGCAGACTGAATAAATCTCCTCGAGAAAATTCTCGCTCAGCCTTTGGCTTTGCCGTCTGCTTGCGGTAAAAGGTGTCGTTTAAAGCCTCCAGTTAACGTTGGCCCCGCCAAAACAAACTTTCTGCCGAGGAAGTACGCTGGATGGCGCGACGTTTTGAGCTTTCAGCTCGTTATGTTGACGAATCTTGTTTTCAACGTCGTTCACGGTGCTGCTTCTCATAAGGTAACTAGCTATAATATGTTTTATCTTCTAACACTTAAACTAACATACATTCACTTCTAAGCAAAGTATTAACAAAAAAGAAACGAAACTTCAAACCGGTAAAAACCATTTTTAAACGAATTTGTGGGAAGGTTTTCAACCCGGTAAACCGGTTTATTAGTTTCTTGCAATTTTAGGATTATGAAAGAGATCAATTCCCTAGTATGTTTTAGTCTGTTGATTATTATAAACAATTCATAAACTCAGAATTGCTAACAACAGCTCAGAAAAATGTTACAATTTTAAGGAGAACCAATACTGAATGTTACGTCTTGGTCGATCTTTCAAATATGGCGTGACTATACACTGAGTGTTCAAAGAAAATCTGATTGCTCACTTTCGAACTGCTGGCGTAACAAGCCACACGGCAGTCCTTTGTTGCAAATATGTTACAGTAATGGGCTTAACTTTAAAACTTCAGTAAATCGCAGGAATGCGTCCCCAATGGGTTCCATATCCCGCAAATATAACTGATTTTCCATCACAGTCGGAACCACCATCCCTTGAGGTAAAATGCAAAGTTCCACACAATGTTCTGCAATAACCTTCGTTTGACCACATGCTACGACTTTTTCATAGGTTTATTAAAAGTTAAGAAATTAAAAACCCCAGCTTACTCGGCAAAATTAACGGCAGAACCACATGAAAATACTGCTCGATAGCTTTCATTTGAATGATCACACACTAGGGTTTCATCCAGAGACTTGAAGTTAATTAGACTGATCACCTTCTACGGTGCAATAAACAGTACAACATCAAAGTATTGCTCGATAGCTTTCATTTGAATGGTCCCATAACAGGGTTTCATCCACCAAAGTTAGAACCACTTTCTACAGCATTATAAAACATACCACATGAAAGCACTACTCGATACCTTTAATTCCAATGATCTCACACAAAGTACCTTGTGCAACTGAATATCGAAAGTCTGATCGGAGGGAGTAAGAGCGAGATGTACCTCCGACTGTAAACAAAACAGCTACGAAATGAATTACTCAAAATTAGAAGCAAATTAGTTATTGTTGGTAATTCGTATTCTGGAAGTGAAATACAACACAAAAATCCGTGAAAACGAGTCAGTGGTTATATTTACTTAAATAGAAAGCGATATAAACTCCGTTATCTGTACATGGGTTAGGATTTAATATAATCAAAAGTTAATCACTTGTATTTTTAGAGCGGTCATAAACTTTTGAACAATTGCTCCTTCGGATAAGGCAGAAGTTTTTCTTTCAAGTCTCAAGAAACTTGGCGCAGTTTTGAGAGAAGTGTGGTTAATGTTTACGATGACTGAGATAACCTCTTTCGAGAGTTTGGCGCCTCTGTAAATTTTACTGTATCATGTTTTGTTTTAAAAGGCAATTTTCCAAAACGTCTCTAGGTTTTAAAGTTCTAATTATGACATTATCAGATTTTAATTAAACTTGAGGCAGGCGAAGACAAGGGTTGTTTACCATTTAGGCGGAGAAACCGGGTCTTCAACGGTTTGTGCAAATGGTATTTAAAAAATCCCTGGTGGTTTTAAAGTTCCGTTCGGACTGGCTATTTACCATATACTTAACAACCCCCAATTTACCGAAAAAACCTAGGATTAGTTCAGATCAACCTGATGATAATTCCAAGATGGCGACTGGTAAGCGCTTTTTCCATTCGAATATTACAGTTGGAAATTTTGAACTACCTTTTCCGATTGATTACAGCAAAGTTGTCTAACCATTTACTTACGACCTAAATTTCCGGAATTTTTGGGTAAATGGTAAACATCCGAGGTAAAATAGTAATGAAGTCCCACAAATTTCGTGTGTAAAATTTGCTTGTGCGAGCAGCTACAGTTTACTAACCAACAGAAACAAATACTTAGCCATTTTACGAGTCATCTATTGTTGTTTACATTACAACATGTATAGTGGCAAATATCACGAGCATCATGCAGTTCAATTTCTTTTTCCGCAAGCGTTTGTAACGTGCACATCCTTTCCCGCTCCTTTTTCGCTAGGTTAGGCCGTGATTTACTTGTTTATTCTAACATGTTTTCCTGTGCATGATACCTGTACGGTGTTTTTCCCGCGCTTTAATTTACCAGTAACGCGGGTTGCCTCGCTACATTTTTTCTTCAACCTGACTGTTACGAAAAATTGCCTCATTACCAGAACCTTTCTATATAGATCTTAATGTGGCCAACCGCCAAACGGCCAGAAAATTTTAAAACAGTCAACCGTCAAATGCGAAAAAATGTTATCGTCAACCGTCAAGGGAGCCAATTATAATTTGTCGGCGTCAACTGGCTCAATTCTACTCGCTCAAAGACTAATCCACTTTTTTCAACTTTCTATAAGATATTTAAGTAGGCCATTAATTACTGGTAGAAAGGAAAACAAGTCGTTAAGTTTTTTTTTTTTTAAAAACTACTGCATTGCTTTCAAATGAGGCAGTAAACTATGATAGTTAAGGAAACAACAACACGGTATGTTGATTAATTTATAAAGAAACTGGGAAAGCTAATAGCTTCCTTTGCCTTTTTTACGATTCTTCAAATTGTTAAATTATCTTGAAAGTTGTCTAGCGATATAACCAAGGTTTTGATGGCGACCGTAAATTGTGAGCTGTAATCAATAACATTAACAGAAAGTTTGCTACCTAAAATGGGACCTTTCTGTCCCTTTCTTGATCAGAGACAGCGATGCCAAACTTCTTCCTGTAAGCTTGAAAGTCGTGCGAAGCACTGCAAAACAACAGTTTGTCTAGACTTGGTTATAATCTCAAACCGGGTTAATTTTTCTCGTTGTGTACTGTATTTTCATTGAGGTGATCAACCTCATTTGAAAGTAAAAGCAAGTCTTAAGACTTAAGCTTTTTTTGTCCTTTAATATTTCTTTAAAATTCTTTTATAACCTCCGATGTAGCTAAACAACCGTAACGAAGCCATTGAAGTGATTATCGTGATTTGATACCCTTATACAATGTGCTATATACGAGGTGTGATCAGTCAATAACTTATACAAAGTTCGTATCCTTAATTAAAAGAAAACATTAAGACGATGATTTGAATTGCCGAGATATCTACAGTGGCTTAAAACCCTCTGTACGCCTGGCACTGAACAAAATCAGGCGAGTATGATGGAAAAAATGCGTGTTTTGTTTTCTAACCCGATATATATCTCTTTTTAACAGCCTCTTATAAAGGAGTTAAATATGTTTGAGAAGACCAAAAGCAAATTACATATAAGGGACATATTTCCCTTCTGTTGCTAGATTAGAAAATCTTAGAACTTGTCTTTTCTGTCATTTGAATGAGGTGGAAAATGAATTGCATTTTATACTTTCCTCTCACCTTTACGATAATTTACGCTCGAAATGTTTTGAAAACAGAAATAGAAAATACAATCATTTTGTTGTTTTAGAAAACAGATCATTTTATTTTCAGTAATGTTGACCCCTGTATCTGTAGACTTACAGCTGCCTATATCCATTCGTGCGTGGATTACAGGGAGAATACTATTACTAATCAATTAAATTGTTATATAATTTAGTTGCATTATTTTAGCTGTACTGAATTATAACACAATGTGCTAATGTACATCATATCAGGAATACTGAAGTAAATTGTTGTTGTTGTTGATTAGGCGAAAAGAATACAAACAAACACTCCTCAAAGGAGGGGTTTGCGGAGAAAACAGATTAACTTGCCTATTGAATTGTTATTGTGCTTTCTGAATAAATAGTGAATTTATTTATGCAAGTGCTCTACACAACTTTTCGACGTAAGTTTGTAAGGACCTTATGATGCAAGTAGGCGACAGATGAAGTTCAATATTGCGCCTTTAGCAAGACGTTGAAAGTTACCGAACAGGATCGTCAGCCAAATAAACTAGTTTGTTGCCATTACCAGCGATGTAGGGTTTTCTTTCTGGGAACAATCAAAGTGCTTTCAAACGCATCAGTACAACAATGGGCCATCAATGAAACTAAATGAATTGCTCGGTCAACCGTCAAACATTATTCAAGTTCAGCTGGAACAGCAAAGTTACTGAAGCGCTGACAGAGAAGGTAATTTTTCTTGCAGATTGTCGCGAAATTTTGTTGCGACTCAAGTTGCAGGAACTTAGGGCAATCAAGTTTCGGGGGCAGTTCAAGAAACTGTCTTAAAGTTTAGCGTGAAATTCAGGAAAAAGCAGACAGTAGAAAAGAAGTGACACATTTTGTATTTTTTAATTTACATTCAGTTGAGACTCTGAAATGCTAAGGTTAGCTTGCAATTAACTGGAGCTCAATATATTCCATAAAAATTCATCTTCATGGGTATTTATGTGGCTCGTTTGTGAGCTCTCAGGACTAATTAACTCCTCTGGATTCTTAAAACAGCGACGGACATAACTTTGCGGGTTCAAAGATGTATTTCTTTCTGGTTGATCAACAGAGCCGAGAGTGATTTTTCTCTCGTTGATAGTTTGAGGTGCCTTTAAGAGGCACGCCAGAGCTGCGGTTTGTTGCGGTCCTTGAACTGTCTCGTTTATCAAGTGATGTATACATATTTGGAATACGTGAACGTGTTGAGTTCATTGACGAAAATTACGAATGCCTTTCTGATCGTGTCTGATGACTTCTGCATCTTCTAAAGAGAAAAAGTCGTATTTTCAAGTTGTTTGAAAAGATTTCGTGGTAACTGATATACTTTTGAAACATTGTTTTGTCAAACAAGGCCTTTGAACTCAAAACAAATCATCTTCAGTCATAATTTTGCCTGTGTGTATCAACCTCTGTTGACATTATCTTGTTATTTATTTATGCTAGGCCTTCAGCAGACGCCAATCGCCAAGCGAGCTCAAAATTTACAGTTACACAGACATGGATGCCATCACTGCAGCTTCTACTTTACACTAAACGAAATTTAGTGGCGAGTTTTCTGCCTTTTTCACTCGGTTATGAGTGAAAATGAACGCTGTAGCAAACATTGCCATATGTTTGGTTCGCGGTGCAAGACGAAGTCGGAAAAAGATCCTTCTTTCTGCATTAATTGCTGTAACACTTTGGAATTTATACTCCATTAACAATGGAAATTTATTTCGTGACCACCCGAGAGTTCTTCGCGAGGGTTTAATACGCAAGCCACAAGTAGAAATCGAGACAACGCTACGATCACTCACGTTAAGAGGACGAACATTGGGAAACCATCCCTTGGGTCGACGAGAGGAACTAAATGCTATAATTCGAGGAGGCGAGAATGACCGAAAAAATCGATATGAAAGAATTGACTTAGCGAGGCTTCATCATCCTGGTTTCAAAAGCGAACAAGATGTGCCGAGGTATGACAGCGAAGACAGTGAAAAAATTTCATCGAAATTACATTCTCGGAGAAATACGACTGCTACACCGAGCGATGTCTGCAAAAAGTTCTTCCTTACAGATTCAAATAAAAATTCTTATGGGACGTGCAAGCCACACAAACCAGCTCCTGATGCTTGTAAATTTGCGGAATCGTTGTACAGCTACGATCCTTCTTTATCGTATTGCAAGGACAACGAAGAAAGCGTCGAAATCTGTTCTTTAGGCATCGAAGTTTCTCAGAAGAGAAAACTGCTCAAAGCTAAGTGCAACAGTCAAGTTTGCCAAAGATTTGTAAACAAAGTCGAGAGAAAGTTTTTAACTTTTGGAGTTCACAGTATAGATCCTGAGGAAGGCGTTTTGAGGTCCGTTAGGAACTTTTCAGCGGTCTCGGAACTAGAACATCAACTTCCACGCGTTGCACTTCTAACTGCAAGAAATAAGTTTAACTTTGTATTCGTTAATTGTTTTGTGATTACGGACAACCAAACTCTGGCGTCTCAGCTCATCTCAATTCCCCCGCGGGTGACTACACAGGAAGGGCTTAAGCCAAGAACTAAAAATACCATCAATGTCAACATTGTCCTATTAGATTCCATTTCCAGAGCACATTTTTATCGCTCTTTGCCCAAAACAGTGGAAAGGCTGAGGAGCTTAGCTGACAAACCTGATATGGCCCCTGCTAAAGTTTACGATTTTGAGTTATTTCAAGCTGTTCACGGCCACACGACACACAATGAACACGCGCTGTTTACTGGCCAGCTGCTTCCCCCCATGGACCCCGATGAAGAAACACCCTCAGTACGTGCGGATGTGCTTTTTGGGCACTTCAAGAGGGCTGGGTACCAGACCATGTGGCAGGAGGATCTCTGTTGGATGTCAAGCTGGGGCCTAGTCACTGACTTGGTTGCGGGAGACTGGGAAGAGCTACAGATCAAACTCAAAGAGAGCTTTATTGATAACACAGGTAACCACGTTAAAAGTGCTTTTTTTCAAATGTTCCTTAAATGCAGTTTTTATTTGCATCTGAGACCCGGCCATATCAAACTTTGGCTATTGGCCATGACCCTGTGGATTCTTCATAACGGCCCCCCGGGTCTCATTCTGGCCTGATGCCAAGTATGGGTTGAGTTTGTTGTGGGTTCTGGCCTTGCTCCGAGGGTTTCTCACCGAGTACTCCAGTTTCCTCCCTACTGAAACTCAACATTTCCAAATTCTTATTCGACCTAGATAGACAACCAGCATAAAAACCAGCTATGGCTGATGTGGCTCTCAATAAATATTGTAATGTTTACTGGAGGTAGTGCCGCATGAATCTGTTTTCTGTTTGTGGGATATTTCCCCTTGCTGAGAGGGAGTGTTCATGTTACAGTTTATGTGTAGTTCAGAGCACGATAAAATTTCAAGTTAAACAATCGGAATGCGTCCACGTGCAAGAAAATACAGGAACCAAAATATCTTTGAAAAGGGGAAAAAAACACTTTAAGTACTTAATGTTATGACTTCTCTGACATCTTGTTGGGTCGCATTTCCATTTAGGACGGAAACCACAGTCTCCTAGTTCGGCTTGTTTAGGTTTATTGAGGATTTTTGATTGACATTTTCAGACTGTAATCAGTCTCTGGCACCCTCGACTACATATATGTTTTCGCTTGTCAAATTGACTCCTTCATCGATGTTTTTTCTCTACAAGCCGGAAGTACATTAAAAACGTACAGATATGGGGTCGAGGTTGTGGCCTTTACGGTTGCGTCTCTCTCCAGACCCACTCAACATTTGGACGCTTCTTAAAGATCCTTTGTGGGACGTTGTCTCGGGGAGTCTGTTCACATATATAAGCTATATAGGTCTGTGCCGCTGTGAAGGGTATTGTTTTCAGGCAGTTTAGTCTAGGGTAGGGTATGGAAATCAGACAGCTCTGGTCTAGAATGTAATATAATTTACTGGAAAAGTGGCCAGTATATAAATAATTTAGAGTAGAACAGGATTCTTTGCCCGGGGTTCTACAATAGAAATTGAAAGTCGGAGGTGATCGACTTTGTAAGATATTGGTTTAGTTAGCGTTTGTTGGACTACCACAGTGATCAGGTTTCTGCATAGAAAATAGCCATTCTGGATACCGTAGGGGTGTTTGGTGTCCAGTCTAGAAAAGGGTTGCAAAATCGAGCTGATCATGGTCTAGTACAAGGTTAAGGTGTCAGTGTCCCAGCGGCACACCCCTACCGAAAGATTCACAGACGTTGCATTCTTTCCATTGAACTAGAATACAGATTGTTTTGCAGACCAGGTTGTTAACCTCTTGGTTCTTTGGCTTTTTTTTTTTCAGGTTTGACGCATTCAAGCTGTGAAGTGTTGGCACCATTTGGTGCTGACGCACCATTCAATGGACCTAACGGTGATCAGATCTGCTTCAACGGCAAGCTACAGCACAGTTATTTCCTTCAGTATTCAATAGACACTTTGAATACGATCGCTTCATCTAGGAGGTCGCGTCCATTACTCTCTTACACCGCTCTCAATGTTGGGCACGACGACACAGGACGAAGAATTCAGTCGCTAGATTCCGAGCTCGCGCAATACGTATCTACCATGGCAAACGATCAGAACTCGCTGACGATCATTTTAGCAGATCATGGAAATACCTACACTGAATACACATATGCCATACTGGAGGGTCGCTTTGAAATGTTTCATCCAAGCTTGTTTATGATTGTACCAAACAAAGTGGCAAGTCTCCTGGGACGAGACGCTTTGTCCGCGTTGGAGGTGAACCAGAGGAGACTGGTAACCATGATCGACCTGCACCATTCCCTGTTGCTACTAGCAGGGCCTCTCTCGGAATTTATAAAACCCGTTGGGTTATTCGCTCCCATATCAGCCAATCGGACATGCAATGATGTCGAATTGAGAACACCTAATTTATGCGTCTGTGAGGGATGGGACAGCCCGACCACAAACGATTCCACGAAAATTTCAATGGTAGAATTTGCTGTTGGCCAGCTTAATAATCTGGTACTAGCGCAGTTCGCGAAATCCGCAAATGGGAAAAGAATTAAGTATCCCATTTTACGCGCGTGCCAAAGACTGCGTCCATTGCGGTTTGAAAACGTTCGCGAACGCAACTCCAAATCGGACGGCGGACTCATCACTAGTTTTGATGTTTATTTCCAGGCTGGAAATGTAGTAAACCATGACGAAGATATATTTCACGTGGAAGTGAAATCCAGAGAGCTGGCCAATCAGTATTCTCTACAAATGGAACTTGTACATTACGATCGATTGACGCTTTACGGAAAGTACGACGCATGCGCAGATCAAGGTGTTCACCTGAAACTTTGCATTTGTTCGGAGAGCGGAAAAGAAAAGCGTTTGATGACAAAGCTGAAGAAAGTTTCATGGGCGCACTACACTACTTTTCTTTTTAAGGAAGCAAAAGCAAGAAAAATTGGTGGCATCGAATGTTTGTTTCTGATCAAAAGGAATCACAGCTCAGGAAAAAGCGTAGCTTTTGAAATCGCGAACACTTGTCCCAATGAAGTGTTTACAATGAAGATATCGGCGGAAATTGAGAATTTCAGACTTTCGAGAGAACTTCCCTTTAAAATAACCGTTCAGGCCGGAAGCATTAAATTCGCGTTTTCTGCACAGGTAGAAATTGATCACTGGAACACTTTCATAGAAGTTACTGTTGATGTTGATGAAAAAAAATATTCTAGGGTTTGAGGTAACAAGTACAAGTAGGTCACGAAACTTTTACGTGTTTCTGTGACGCTTAAGTCACGTTAGTTTTGGCAATTTCTACCTCTCTATTGTTATCACATACTATAAAATTTTACAACGATTATATTGAGTAGAGTGGGAATGAACCTTAAAGGAGCTCGGTCACGGTTTGCGCATATTGAAAAGTTTAGGCTCAATTTTTCAAATTGGTCGTTTGTAATCCGGGTTAATCTTCTCCATCCTTAGCCATCTTTGTTCCTTTATAGTTTATCATTATCTCATTGGTGTTTTTCTATCTTATTGAACTGTTATTTTCAGGTTTCCTGCCATTTAAAGGTAATTTTGTATCTGGCCAAAATAACTCAAAATACCGTGACTGAGCTCCTTTAACTACAGGACAAGCAGAGAGGATCGACTATTTCAAACAGCGCTGTAATCTAACTGAGTGAAATTTGGAAGATTTCAAATCAGTTTCCAACAGCTGTATCAAGTTGTTCCCAGCTAAAAGGACGTGCAGTTCGATGGCTATGGTTTAAAAACGTTCTTCTGTCAAAGCAAGAGGGTCAAAGTTCTTACGGGCCAGCTTGTATTTCAACAGAATTGCCATTAATCACACACGCGATCTAGCCTGTCCGTCAACTCAAAACAAAAACAGGGACAAAATGTCGTGTAAATCGCTTTGCCAAACTGTGATGAACGGGATTAGCCTACGTGTAGCCGTACCCACCCCCGGAGGAAAAACTGGCCTTTGTCTGCGCACGCGAACTTTTAGGGGAAATTTAATCTATTTGCGTAATTTGCATAAATTAACGTCACATAACAAGATTTGAGCCGGTTCTTCGTTAGACGTTTTCTCCCTCCCGTTTTTCCTCTGGGGGGTGGGGGGTGGGTCGGTGGAGGGGTTGTCCAGTTACACGTAGGCTAAAATGAGATAACCGTTGAGGTGTATTTGCCCAATGATTGGTAGACTGATTCAGGATAATAAAGACAACTGTCAAAACTTCGACGTAATCGATGGTAATAGGCAGGAGCTCTCAAAGTGCTCTTTTAAAACATACTACGATTATATTATTTATGAATCGAGACATTAGTCGGCATAATTTATGATAATTTATTTCGACTGTTTTCAAGATAATTTATTTTGAAAGAAATATTTGTATAGTCCATTAGTTTAAATTATCGTTTATAGTTTATCAAGGCTGGTGGAATAATGGCCTTTGTATTCCTTTGTCTACTAGGAGTTTAATATTGTGTAGAAGTAGCCAGTGTAAAGATTGTGTTGCAATTTACGACTACAGATTACTAGAAAAGGTAAGGTCTCCCGTCATTCATTGAAAAGAAAACCTCTGAAAGTAGAAAACAAAAGTTATAAAGAAATAAAAGAAAAAGACGGAAGATGGAGTGACGTGAGAAAATTATTTCGATTGCAGTTATTGGGACGTCACGCAGCATTGCGCGACGTGAAGAATGATCAGCATGAAACCTGCCAATTCGTCAACGAAATATTTATGACGGGTTAAGAGGAATGGATAACAAAGAAGAAATTTTCCTTGATAGAACTAGCCTGCGTAGCAAGCGTTTCCGTACGAGCCGGACGAAATCGGGCAGCGCGGAAGAGCTTTTTCGCATTCGGGCAGCATGAAAAATATGGCGAGAGCAAAAAGGTCGAGGGAGGGGGGTGGGGGAAGGGAAAGAAGGGAAGGGTCGCTCGCTTCCCTCAATGCAAGTATATATGCACAAGTACATAGACAAGTTAAATTTCTCTCGAGTCAAATGGCATCTCTGCTCAGGAGATCACAAATGATTCACATTCAAAGCCTCGGTCAAATGTATTTGTAGAGAAGTTTGAAAGAACTAAAGACGAAAAGGGTGGCATATTCATTAGAAAAAAAACTTTTCTTGGCCTGAGCGGGATTCGAACCCCCTTCCCCATAACCAGTCGGGTGTGATCACCACTACACTATCAGAGCAACCATGCTGGCTACATGGCTAATTTAGATAGTGAATGGGAATATACGTGCTTTTCGCGGGCAATGCTTTTCTCCAACTAGATGACACTGGATCGACAGGAACGATTCACAGACCGACGAGAGTAGAGAAGATATACAAAATACATATATGTAAAAGAATTCATCCGTTTACGTGTCCTGGAATATGTCTGAACAGTTTGATATGAAAGCTAGTCTCATGTAAAAGACAGCGAAGAGTTCAGGGTTTTGCACGGCTACCGACATGAGGAGACCTGTATGAAAGTTAACGCTTTTCCCACTTGATATCCCGTTTTCTCTGATCTAAATACCCCATTAACTTTTGCCCCAAATAACCCGTATCTTGTCCAGGTCTCGATATCAGAAACAGTGTTTGAGTAGAAGCAATTATGTTGAACAGATCGTTATCGGATGTTCACATTTTATTCAAGAAAGCAAATCTACACGAGAGATATGGAGAAAAAAAATGCGTCACATTATATTACAGTGGTCATTCCAAATTCAGATGCATTACCAGAATTTTGAAATACAACTAGAGCAGTTTTCCAATCACTGTCGTAAAACAAACAAAAAATGTAAAAATGTAAAGTACATGAAAATGAAGCAAGCAACCAATCAGAACACGAAGCCAACACATGCAACCCGCGGCAAGCGCGGGAAAAATGTGGTTGCATGCACTAAGTGCGTGAAAATACGTGCAAGCTAAGTCACGATTAGTTTTGTTTGTTTCTGAATGGTTAAAAAATGACGCTTGCCCTGATTGGTTCCACAAGTTTTTCTGAGCTGATCAAAGGGTTCAGTGAAAGCTACATTTTGTATACCTAAGCAAACAAAAAATATACTATCGACAGTCATTGAAAACCACTCTTATGCATGGCGTAAGATATGATAAAACATCGCAGCTAAAATGCGAAGCGTTTGATCATCACTCTTAATCAGAAGAATCTGAATCAGAATCTTTGGCTTTCTCCTTCTCTTTTTCTTTCTTCTTTTTCTTTTTCTTCTTCTTTTCTTTCTTTTCCTGCCACAGATAAACACATCAACCCAAAGGGTGTTACTACACAATCGACAAACATATCTGATCCAGTTTTGACAACAATTGCAAATCTTTCTGTTTTTTTCTTGGTTGTTGTTGATTAACACATACAGAGACAATTGCGCCTAGTAGTTGGAAAACTCCACCATGATACGCAAAACAACAAAAAAAAATAAACAAAAACCAGTAACAACACAAAACAACAGGCCCGGGTTGTTAGAAAGGTGGATAACGCTATCCACCGGATACATCGCTATCCAGTGGATAAGTGTTAACAAAACAAACCAGACTATCTCCTGGATAGTGATTTATCCAGCGGATAGTGTTATCCACCTTTCGAGCAACCCGGGCCAGGAGCCGTTTTTGGCATAGCCTGGGAACAGGCTCCCGGTGAGGACGGAAAAAAGATTGGCAAGCGCGAAACGGAAGAATTCGGGGGGCGATGCGATCGGGGCGGGACAGGTGAGCCTGTAGACTTTGTTTTTTGTTATGTACCTATCCGCCCTTACTGATTAGCCTGTAACAAATCAGTCAATAAGGTAATTAGACCACAGGGGACCCGAACGCTTTATCAGCAACAAAAATAAATGTACTATTGTTTACCTGTGTTCATGTGTCTTTTTGAGTCGTTTAGAGGGGATTTGAATGAAGCGAAGACGGTTTACATCTCTGAATATTATCTCGTCTGCCGCTTTGTACATGTAATTGACGCTCCGATTACGTCACAAGTTTCGAGTGACGTCGTTAACTATTAACTCTCATCGGGAGAGAGATTCTCAGGTTTCATAATGGCCGATGCCGTCCAAGGATTTCCGATCATTTTTGATTCAGAGAATATGGTAGTCACGTGAGCTGGCCATTATAAGTACAGTTTAAGTTGCCTAGCAACCGTGGGCTCACTCAGTTCTCAACGAGGGAACCTCACTTAAAGTTGCTTTTCCACGAACTCCTGCAGTGATATCGTGACTTATCAAGACTATCCTCTGTATCCAGACACAGAGGCTACCTGTTCCCCAAACTTATCCCAGATGTAACTCAACTAAGCCCAAATGGCTAACGACTGATCTTGCCTGTTCTTGAATGGTCCCACAGACATCCTATATGTCTTGGCATAACAAGATATTTCAGGCAGAATGACGAAAATTAACCGGCTGTGAGGATGATTTTGCCCGCCAGGTTTGATTGACAATCTAGAGAAAAGTTTTTCAGTTCAAAAAGATTTGTCCGCCCGTGAAAACCAGTTGCCCCCCTGCTGAAAACGCCAATGATACCTCTGCGATAAATGTCATCTTGTAAATGTCCAACATAATGTTTACTTACTTCATCACTGCTATCTTTTTCTTTGCCTTCCTCTTTTTCTTTTTCTTTGGATTTCTTTTTGTCTTTTTTGGATTTCTTTTTCTCATGTTTCCCTGGTGTTTCCTTCTCCTCGTCACTGCCCTCAGCACTTCGTTTCCTCTGTTCACGGGTGAAGTAAAAAGTGAAAAACTTCATCACACACGCATACAGCTTACACAGCTTGCTGGGGGACATGGGCCTGACTGTGTAGCCAATCACATCACATATTTACCTGATACTTGGTCAGTGGGTTGTGCTAAAGCTCAATAGACATCTGCATACTTTGTCTCTCTTGCCTATAATGCTACTAGGTTATAATTTTAAACTTACAGCTGTGTAAGCCTTTTTGTGTGTGCCATTTTCAAATTCCTATACTCGACGAAAGTTAGTTCCTCAAAGTAATGAAACTTTTTCAAAAGGTTCGGTCCACACTTCTTTACCTTCTTTCCATCCTCGGCTTCTTTGGGTGTCACAGGAGCACCAGGGATAGGCTCAGCTTTGGGTGTCACAGGTACAGCAGGTTCGTCTTTCACTGAAAGTGGGATTTTCTGTTGACTATAAGAAAAGTCGATTAGAAAAGATCCAAGCAGGAATGTGGAGAATGGTCAGTGATTCTACAAATGAAAATCATTCCAACCTGAGGTCAGGATGCCCTTCAAGCCACTCCTTGGGTGTGCTTTCATTTGGTTTGCCATGTTTGTCCAATTTGCCACTTGCAATCAACTGTTTCTTTTGAAGAGCCTAAGAGAGGAAAAAGTTTTAAAACAAGAAATAGGACACAAAGGATCCTGACCAAAGTCAACTTCCCAATAACTAATGTGAGGCAACTCACCATGCTGACTTGCAAACAGTTGACAAGCTTCATTCTGATTAATTTTTGATCAAATCTTTTTGACAGTTTTTGATGGGTTGTAACAAATTCAACCATTCAAACTCTAGGATGTGTGGCATTGAAACTGACATGACAAATGCAGGATTGCCACCAGTACCAAAAAAATATTATTAAGAACAGTTGAGTCAAATGGAACTATCATTGAGTTTGAATGCAGATATTGTTTCCTAACTCTATAGTAGACGTAGTAAGAAACGAGATGCTGAAGCAGAGTAGATGTTTTAGCAATCACAAGCTTTTGATTCATGACAACAAAATCAGATGCGTTTGAGTGTCAAAAGCTTGTGACCGCTAAAACATTGACTCTGCCCTGCTGTATCGTTTCTTATTATGTCACTGAGCTGTACTAAGATGTAAACAAATGACTAGGCTGGATGGAAGCTATTGCACAGGACGCTAAGTAATGAGTCTTATGGGTAATTACACAGGAACCCCAGTAAGAAGTCCAGTTCCCACCATGTCCTACCTTTGGTCCCAGACCCCATTTCCTTGGGTAGGTGTCTCTTTCCATGATAACTCTTTTAATCTTAGCGGCTACACCATGATCACAGGCTGCCATCACAGCAGTTGTCATGAGAGCAATACCTGCAAAGAAACAGTGAAAAATTCACTGAGTATTTGCATTCGTCTTTCTTCCATTAATAACATATATCAGTGAGTTCTTTTTGAAATCCTTGTATGATGACACACACTTCTCTTTAAGCAGAATTCAACCACTTCATATGAAAACAAAATCACACGACTAAGAAAGCATGGTAGCATGGCTACATTGCTGTTGTTCTGTAACAGCTGGCCAACTGACTGTCAGAGTGAAAACACATTTAAATTAATGAGGACCAGTGTAACAAACTAGAGGAATGGAATCCTGTCAGTGTAGTGGATCTTATCAGCTATAACTGACAATGAGCCAAGAAGAAACATATGACTGATTAAAATAATGATAGGAAAGCTGCAATGTATATTGCAATTCCAATATTTCCAAATACAAGGCCTCTCTTCTTCACAGTTTCAAAGGCAATGTATGGCAGTCTTTGTAAGACCCTGAAGATGAAAACAGTGCCTTGCCAAATATTAGAACTGACAGTACTATAATACAGTTTTAAAATTGTTTAACCAGTGTTGCTTGTTACTTTTTTTCTTCGTTTGAGCGACAAAGTTCCTGATCAAATGAAACTCACCAAGAGCAATAGCTTCTCCTTTTGTTGTCATAATAACTATTTCTTCATTCATTTCTATTCCAGACTCATATCGAAGCAGACCAGGGATCATCAATTTAGCTCCATAACATATGGCATTGACCTAAAGCAGAATTGAACAGTGTTTTAAAGTTACATGTGCGCAAAAACATATTACACAATTAACCTTTCTACCACACTTACAACTGTAACACCACTTGTTAATCACAAGAATTAAAGAAGTAGGCTAAGGAGCATTTTCCTCAAGAACCATTAAGTTTGCCTGACTAGCGTTAAAATAAATGTATGACTAATAAATGCTTGGTTATTTAGTATTTTGTATTTTACACCTTCGGTACTGATAAATTTTTTAGAAATATTAAGTCTGACTAAAACATTGTGAGTAATGTTCAAGTACAAGTTTAATTACACTATGCTTTGGAAAAAAAAAGTTTAATTCTGATACATGTACTTACAGCACTATCTTTTACAACCAAACGCTTGTGAGACGTTAACAATGCTTCTAGTGGTTTAATGCAGCGTCTTAAGTAAGATTCTACAAGAACAACAATTTTCTATTGTTAAAACAAGAATCTGGAAGATCTGCTTTTCATAAATGTTGCTGAGGCTTTTCCTTAAAATCTGAAATGTACTCATTCTTTATAACATGTTTAACCATCAGCCATCATTAACTTTCTTGTAAGTTCTAAAATGATCTTGTTATGCTACAGTAAAACTGTCAGGCACAGAGAAAGATTACAAGCGACACTTCTCACCATCTTTGTAGTTGTCATACATCCATTGCGCATCCAGAACATCATGCATAGTTGCCATATTATCCTGCAAGATTAAAACATAAAATCATATTGTTTATTCTCTTCACTTCTGGGCACAAAAGTTAAAAAACTCAGATTTCATTTGAAGCAAATAAAAATGCAGCACACAACACTCTACTTGGGATAGTTTTCATTTAAATGGTTACATGACAAGACTAGTATTCACTATAATGTGACTTACATTCTCTGACTGAATTCCTGAGCGCACTCTCCTGAGTTCCTGCATGTGAGCTCCGATACCCATTAACAATCCAATATGGACACAAAGGGTTCTTATGTATGTTCCCGCCTCACAACTCACCCAAAACACACCTGAAAAAACATTGGCAATATTGGCTTGCTGTCATACTGACACCCCTTACCAACACATGTACAATGGTTCAAATTGGATGAGAAGCTAAGATGGCTTATTGGGTTGGCTGTTAACTCCAGTGATCATCGTATGATGTGACTCAACAAATAACTTGTGCTGTAGCAGAATGCTTTCCCCCTGCACTGAATGAGACTGCGGCTAGTCCTACCTACAGGTATTACTGTTACACTATTGGTTGAAGTCCTTGACAGGAACTGCAAGAGTAAAATGTCTTGTCCAAGAAGACATAGCAGTAACCCTTGCCCAAGGCCAACATACTAAACATGAAAATTGGTCACCACACTCTTAGAAAAAAAACCAGTATAGAAAACAGCCAAATCGATTTGCACAGTATAAGAGAAGCACAACAAATAGATTAAATTTACAACAGTTAAATCGCAATATGTCCTGACTGACTAAGTTTTGCTTTAGTACTGACAGTACTTACCAAGATGTCGCTCAGCATCATACTCGATTAACTTGCTTTCATATATTGTTCTTATTCTAAGTTGTCGTTTCACTGCAGATATCAGTGGGGGTCTCTGAAACAACGCTCCAGTAAGCATCTCTATTGTCTGCAAAACATAAAATAGAACAGCTATTAATAATTCAATCAAAAAATTTAATTTCTCCTTAATGTGTCAGATTGATAACCTCTTTAATGTAACTACTTGTAATTAGTAGAGAATTTCTTCGCTTGAAACTTGGAGGATTTGGGAAAGTGACATGTGCTTTTCAAACATGCTTTTCAAAAATTCCAGAACAATGCACTGACCTTGGCTAATTCTGCTTCCTTTTCAATAGCTTCATGAAGTCTAACAATACAGACATACTCTTTTCCTACAAGGGTAAACCAGAACCAAAACATTAATTTCATAATTCTCTGTAATGATGTTTGATGTTAAGGCATATACAGTGGGTGTCTCAACTCAGAGGAAAGGCATGGTAGATTTAAGGAGAGCAGTGTTGAGTACAAATTCCTGAGCATTACTATGCACAATGTTTACCTGCACCCTGTTGTGATTTCACAAGTCTTGTTGCTCTTTCAATGCAAACAATGAGGCAACCTGTGACCTTTGGATCAAGAGTGCCACTGTGGCCAGTCTTCTCAACACGAAGAATTCTTCTGATCCATGCCACCACCTAGAGAGAGGAAAGTTGATATCAACATCTGAAATGCAATTACCAAGAGGGAAATACTGAGCTGCAGGTACGGCAACAAAATCTACATCTCAGACCAGTAACACTAGCAGAAAAAAAAAACAGAAACACAGACACACATTTTGTCTAAACACAGAATTTCTCACACCTCATGAGATGAAGGATTTGCTGGCTTGTCAAGATTTATGAATCCACTCCTGCAATGAAAACAAATGTCATTAGCAGAGTGCAAGTAAGCTTAAGTCTTACACAGGGCAATAGCTAGTAACAGGCAAACAGAGGTACTGTACAAGTACTATACTTGCCTCAGACAGTTGCGTCATTTTTACTGTTTACAGTCATCATAAACACTCTCAGACACTGTGAAATTATACTTTTCTGCTGTACAATTTAAAAAACCCAAAACTGGTACACAGCTGGACATCCTCAGTTTTCTTGAATCATGTACAAAAAGCCTGTTTCATGACAATTTTGTGGTTAGCAAGGTACTTGTATACTACAGAGTACGCTTTTTAGGGAGACCTCCTGTACAACACACTGTACTTACGAAATGTAGTCCTTGAGCTCTCTTTTCAAAGGAGAACAACCATTTGGTAATGGAGTAAAGTGGCCCGTTCTTACGTTCAACTTGTCATAGTTCTGTTGGATAATGACAGGCAGTTAACATACCTCTATCACTCATTATCATACGTGCAGGTAAAGCATTTGGCAAGAGATACTGTGGGAAATGTTACCAACTTTCAACATCTTTGTTTGGTGACAGTGTACAACTCTGTACTGCAAGCCCTCAGAACAGAAATAACATGTTACAAAGCATACAGTGTACATGTATGTCATCCACAAAAGGCCAGTTGGAAGAAAGAAAAGATCTGAGCAGACCAATAGCAATAACATAATGTCATTAGAAAGATACCTTACCTTTAAAAGTAGAGGCCATTTTGATGTGTCTAATACCCCAGCTGTAGATGTTGGCTTCAAGTGGAAATCTTCATCATGCTGGGTGTCCTGTGCAAGAAACATGATGAATCAAGGACTGATATAATAAGCATAGCTGTATATGCACCATTTGTACACTGTATATGTATAATGTAACTCAAGGTGAAGAGCTGACTTGTTACAGTGTAAGTCCAGGCTCAGTGCTACCTACAGTAGTGCAGTATACAGATTATGCTCTTACGGTGCTACGGTACGTGCCTTACCCTTTAAAATTGTCAACCAAAATTTAATCAAAAATTTTCTCAAGTGGCAACAGTAATAAAGTTGTAGGGCTTACTGGTCTATTGGTCAGTTATGAAATAGAAAAGTTCAACTATTCAAGAAACCATTATTTTCCAGGAAATGCTCTCCACAGGGCTCAGATTCATTCGTATTCTCCTACATGTACACCAAGCTCCTTAAATTCCAATACATTAGGTAAAGGAACCTTTTGGATTTAATGCATAGTATGGTAATTTAAGTGCCGAAAAATTGACGATAACTTTAACATTTCTGAAATTTCCACTGACAGAAGAGCAATTGGTTTCAAATTTTTTGGAGATGACAAACGAATTACATTACCTACGTTGAACATAAGCTACCATATACTTGTAGATTGAAACAACATGCACACGCAACAAGCTATTACCATATAACTGTATACTGCATACACTAATAACATTGACCGATGGATCTCAACATTAACACATTATTTTTGGTGACGGAATCACGATTCGAAGTTCGATAATCTTTAAAACGTGTTGGAAATGAATTTGAGATCTGCAAACTGTGCGAGAAAAGGCGATCAACTCACCCCAAGATGATTCGAAGAGTTAAGATCAGCCGCCTCGCTTTTCAACTTCTTTGCTTTCTTTGCCGAACCTGTACGACCGATATGAAACGATCGTCAGTTAAAATTCATTAGAGAGAATTAATCCGTTCTGCTAGAGAAGATTCTCAGTCATAATGCGTCGAATCTTGCAGCCCGTTGTTGAGTATAAAAGCCTGCACAACAAACGCAAACATAACGTAAGGATTTACCTGAATCGTCGTCGCCCGATTTGTTCTTGTCTTTCTTGTGCTTCTTACGAGGCGTAACGTCTAGGGAAAAGAGGTAAAACACAAATCATTAACAAAGTGGGACAAGAAAAGCTTTCTTTAATGGAGAGAATGCCTGAATTTCAAGAATTTTACACTAACCAGCGTCCGCCATGTTTCCACGTGCAGTAGTGTTCGAAATGCGCATGCGAAGCTTCGAACCCAGGGCACCAGTTATCACCAAAACACCCGGCTAGGTTTGAAAATCTGGAATGGTACAGGGAATTTTACTGGATCCAATCCAACAAGTCCTTTGTCGCAAAATTTTCATTTTTCTTGCCCAAATGGACAGTTTTCTTGCCATTGCTGCTGTTGGGATTTTTGGTAACGTCAGCAGATGAAACCCTATGTTGTTTATTCACTTCTACCTCTTTATAATCATCGGCAGGAGTCCATTACGCGGAGCCTCCATCTCTTATACTAACCCTGTGAGTCAACCCTTTTCCGTATCTTTCTATTTTTAGAAACAGCTCTTGTGGGAGTTTTTACACGACCCATTTCAATACCCAATGAAACCCCAGCTAAGATCACTGTTTGTTACAAAGCAGATTAAGATCCCACTCTTGCCCTCTATTTTGCATTTTCTATCTGTATAAACAAAACATTTAGTGGGAAATCAAGAGACTCTCTCGCGCTAATTGTATCATTATATAGTATATATCTAGTATTAGGACCTCTATGTAAACCACTTTTAATGATGGAGCTTCCTAATAAAAGATTGTTACTACTACTACTACTAATTACAGTTCTAAAAATAGAATGGTACGAGAGAGGGTTGACGCTACGTTGTAGTACGTATGGTGGCTCCGGGTGATGGGCTCCTGTCATCGGGGGGAAGGGGAGTGGGGGATGGGGGGAAGGGGGGAAGGGAGGAGAAGAAAAGAGGCGCTGTGAGATAAGAGCAAAGAGTGTCTTGTCCAAGAAAGAAACTATACTTCTCGCCGTTTTGAAATCTGCTGTCCAAAATTTCAAAACGGAGCGCTTCAGGAGAACAAAACAATCGAGGGACGAATTAGTCAGAAATCGTTCTTCTGACGGCACGATAGAGAGGCCTGCAGGTTGTCATGGGACGTTTAGGGGCTATTTGGGCATTTGGCGGGAGATTTAGGTCATTCCATGTTAGTCAGCCTTTGTGCTTGTCCCTATTTTTTTATCAAGCTTTTGTTATAACAGCCTTTATGTATAATTGTAAGATATTCTAGCTTATTGACTTGTTTACCTTTTTCCCGGGGTCTTGTGCTGCTGTATTAGATGAGCAATACGTTTCCACGTTTTTTTTTTGATCAAGTCTTAAGGGTTGTTCTTAGTAGTAGTTTTTCGTATCTGGCGTAGCACGTGTTCTAATTGTTAGAACCGATGGTTGTAATTTTTAAGGATACAGATTATCTCATGAGAGACTGACTGACGCATCCTCAGTAAACTATTCACGTTGAATGTCTCGTGCTAGTGTACTCAGCAGGTGAACTTTCACGCCCATCTTGGAAACATGTCTCTTTTTGTTTTCTTATTTTACATTTTGCGGTTTGCGCTTTGTTGCTAAGTTACAGAACCGTGTCTTAAAGACACTGCCTACGCATCGCCTGTCACGGTCACTACCATGCTAATCACCAATGACACAGCGGTCTCTGTCACTTTCTGAAACAAGTAATCCGGCACGATACCTGAGGTGAGCAAGTTGGCGAATCATAACAGTGGTTTGTTTTAAATGTAAAATCTATCATCACTGACATCTTCGCCGTCTGGCATATATAATAAGGTGAGAGATTTTGAATTGAAAATTATTTCGTATATTATTTTGAAATAATATACTAAATGAATTCATAAGTTGAGAATCTAAGCCGCTTAGTTTACTTCCCATAACCAACTTAGAAATTAGGGTGATAGTATAATTTATTGAATTTATTCCGGCTCTGTGTTCGGATTCTTACGTTATAAATTATTAGCGCACAGCCCGGGCGCATAGGTAACTCAGGTTTTTCTTTTCAAATGACTCATGGTCTTAAGTTTTAAACTAAATCAATGTCATGCAGCCAACTCAGGGTTAAATGATCAAATCGATTTTTATCCACCATTACAGCCTATTAAATGATCAAAGATTATCAGCCACACAAAATACAAAATAAGGTTCGGTTGAACTGTGTGAATGAACTTGAGATTAAATGTAAATCGTCCTAATTTTTTTTCTGGATGACAATATATGGTCTTTTGGGCCGATTCATTGTCGTGTTTAATAAAAAAAATATTAATTCTATCATTTAGGTGTTGGTTTAGGGTATATGGCGACTTCAGAATCAGTGTAATTTGGCAAAATATTCTTTATTGACGAGACGTGATTTGTCATGCATTATTAATTACCAAACATGTCGGAAGTTTAGAGTTTTAAAACTCCAAGTATATGTGATATGATTTTAAATGTCTGGTGATTTCAATTGCGCTCGTGGCTAACTGTTAAAATGTCATCTGTTTGGTGGGTATGGACGCGGCTATGTTACAGATTTTATCGATTGTAGAAATTGCTGGAAAAACGGTTTTAATTTTCAGATTACGCTGTGGTCGTAAGACAAATAAATGCATTTCCTTATTGACTAATTTAAAATCATTGAGAATTTTAAATCATAACGCACCGATTTTATGGCGACGCCAAAAGAGGTTCGGCGATTTTAGACCACTTTGATTCGAAGCACTCTGTTTGTCGTTTGTGTTCTTGTTGCGCCAAATTTCATAAATAATTTTTATACCGCATACTAAAACATGTTTTGCACTGTACTTGAATGTAAATATTTAAAAGATACGTTTTTTTCAAGCCTTTTTACTGGAGGAAACTAACGTATAGCGCTATTAAAATACATACATTGAGCGATGCACTTAAGCAGTGAATTTCTCAAAAATTAAAATGTATATTAAACGGGACTTGAGTTTGAAACCAACTTATTTAAATTTGTCCACGTTCTAAGTAGCAGCCAAAAGGGACAGAAACAAATTAACGGCTCTGACATCGTATCATCGTTTTACGTCAGTTGCTGTGCAACCGTAGTGTTAATTGAAGAATGAATACTGTGGGAGCCCGTGAAAATCGAATTTGTATTCGTGAAAATCTTGGATCTACTGAAACGGCAATTCATACGAATCATTTGCCTTTTTAAGTTACTTTGCAATTGTGTTCTGTTGGCCACTCCCTTTTAAATTCAAACCAGAGACGTGTTCTTGATTCAGTTGATTTTTAGCAAACCTATTAAAGAGAAATAACGATTTGAGGATGATAAATGTCGTGGTTTATGTCCTGTAACTGCCTCTTTCGACTTGCTAAACAGCTTCTAAAGTAAACAAGCGTCTTCCTGTTTCCGCAAGTTACTAAAAACATTTTTTTGCGCGATATCAATATTCGGTAAACGACTACACCACCATCAAAGCTCAAAAGGCATACATTAACCTCGACCTCAGAACGAGGACAAAGATGGCCACTGGAGGTAAGAGATGGCCATAAATGCCGAGTTAAGAATCAACTTTCGCTTTTTGTGTTTGAGACATTTTCGTTAATATTGCTTGCTTTATTTAAAGTGCCTTTTTTACCCGAGAAATAGGTGGACTTGCATAATATACAAGGCCGGACGAAGTCTTTCAACTACCCTTTTGTTTAGTAGAACTGTGAACTGTCATTGTTAAGGGTGTTTCTTCCTCACGGGCGTAGATTCGAGGGTGACTTCCTCTCGGGTTCCTAAACGAAGAAACACTATGTCGACTAAATATGACTTAAAATTTTAAGGCTTGTAACTATTTTATGACGAAAAAGAACTCTATAAGTTTGCACTCACTGGGAGTCGAACCCGGACCACTGTGCCCTTTCTTACCACTGTACCACCGTGCTGCCAGCTGCCAAAATACCCAAAATTTAAACTACATATAATGAACAGTAATATTAACTACTTAATAACCGAGAGTGAGGTCGTTACGGGAAAATCTCAAACTGAGGCCTTGCCGTATTGACCGAGCGATAGCGAGGTCAATACGGNAACAAAAACTTGGCAACAAATTTCAAGATAACGAACGGTTGCTATGCAACGGATTAGCCAATCGTCAACAGGTAATCATGCCTTCTCTTGATTACTAAAAATGCCCTCGATTAAGAAAAAATGCCCTCCCTCTCAACCAATCAGCGCTCAGTAATTTTGCCCTTTATTGATAAACTATTTAAACAGCTCTATAGGGGTTGGTGTACTTTTAATAGTTTTTACCATCAAGTTAACTGCTTAGTGAATTTGGAATCAAGTCAAAAAAATCATGATAAACGTGTGTTCAAATGATTTTATGAGGCGTCCCTTTCTATTTCGGACTCTTACCTGTTATCACCTTGTCCAAAAAAAGCAAACTACGAGTATTAAATTTTGGGTGGCCGTTTAAAAGAGATAAAGACAATAGCAAAACCCTCATAGGAACGAACAAAAGGTGCCCGTGGCTGCTAACTAGAGGTGGCCGGCTAATAGGAGTTTTATTTACAGCATTTTACCGACAATGATTTCGTGACTTAGATAACTGGCCGCTTAATAAGGGGTGACCGCTTAATAGGTGGCCGCTTTTAGATATAAAACGACAATTTTAAATTTGACAAACATTTTTCGGCAGAAACTCCTGCCTTCTGCAGGGCAAACATTACAGAAGATGCAAATTTAATACAATTGTTGTATTTATTTTCACTGAAGGAGGCAGAAGTTTCTGCTGAAATATGTTTTTAAATTTAGAATTGCCGTGTTGTATCTGAAACTTGTTGTGACGTTCCTGTTGTCGGGGTCTTTTGGTCGTACTAGAACAATTAACATAATTTCGGAGCAATTAACATTAACTATGACAATCTGAGATGGTCATTTTATCTCTGCTTGAAAAACATCTGCCTTAATTGAAAAATAGGCCATTCTTCTCTTTTATTTGGGGACAGTTAACGCAGCTTTTCGCATGGTTTTTTGATATCAGCAAAACTAGCCAGGTAAGATTTTTAAAACTCTCTCAGATAAGGTTAAATCACCTATGCATCGACTATTGTTGCTCTATCGAGCCCAGTGCTGTTCTTACGGTTTGTAATCGAACCTTGGTTTAATCTATCCCTCAAGCAGTGTTTTTTAGCGAGACAATCCTATATGTATAGTTAAGCGTTAAACGGTGGGCAATGTGGGTTAAGGCATGAAATTAGTCCAGGTATAACTTCTAAGTGCTAGTTCTTTCTGGAGTATATGTAACTTTTTTTTGATCATTGCAGGGCTGCATTACTTAAATCCTCTTAATTCAGGCGTTTACAATACTAACTTGCTACTTAATGCAGCCGGCATTGAAATGGTAATGTAGAATGTTCACAGTCTGTGGTAATCTCAGCAATTTTGTGAGTTTTCCTCAGCTTGAGTACAATTCTTTTCCGGGATTACGCTTAGATACCTTAAAATACTGCAAATATAACCCTGCATTTGTGTTTGCATCTTATGGTCCTATTTTCGCAGGGGCCTTTAGTTCAGTTCTCAGACGAAGTTCTGTCCTTATAAACGTTGGGCGGATGTTGATCAGTGTATACATATATCAGTAAGGGTTTTGTGTCATCAATACAAGACATAAATAAGAATCATATGCAGTGTATTTTGCAACTGGAGACGTGGAGTTCATTCGTTTAATTGACGTTATTTCCTTAAACCTCGTACCGGGAAAAAAATATTTAGCTTAAATCCATTCAAATTCGATGAGGTAGGGCGTTAACTAGCTAGCTTGTCTTGGCTCTGTAAAGTGATGTTTTCAAAACAAGTTTAATTCCCCAAAGATTGTGCACCAAAATACTCCCCCACCCTTCCCCTAAGCTTTGATCATTATCGCATCATGTGAAGAGGAAAGCAACTTCGTCATTAATGTCTTCTCGCTGTAAAGAGCCGCCATCTTGAAAAAAAAGGAAGATAAAAGGAAAAAATTAAAACACTACGAAAACGGCATTCAAGAAAAACAATTTTCACTTCACTTACTCTTCATCTTCAACAAACCATTAACAGATATATCAAAATAATAAAAAGTTGCGAATTGAAGTTCCTTTTTAACATTACTTGGTGGAAACCATTAGTAGCTAACCACAATAGGAATTGCTTCGGGCAAAACAAAATTGTTATTAGTAGTTAGCGAGTTTCAATTGATGTCATCGGAGTGACACAATGTGGCTTCAGTTTATCTGGAGTAGAGTTCGCGGCAAGAGAATAAAAATACAAAACGATGTTTAATTGATTTTGTCAGCAGAGGGACAACTTCAACTTTGTGAATTTAACTTGCCATTTTAATAGGCAGAAGTGTGTTGTGGTTTTTTTTTTCGACCACAGAATGTAAATTTCACAGTCAAAATAGTTTTAAGTCAAATTTGGCACGACAGGTTTACCAGAGCATTAGCGACAAATGACCACCAGGTGCAAATTTTCAGTGTTAGCGGTACTAAAATTCGACCTGGGGAAAACGTCAGAAGTCTTTGAAGAAACACCTACACAAAGTCAGCTCTCATGACCACTACATGTGGGAAATGAAGGTGAGATTGTCAGTATGATTTGTTTTAAATTTATTTTCCTCAGCTGTTGTGCTACAGCACTAGCGCCAAGACAGTGATCCACGAAAGTTACTCTTGTTTTATCTCTACATGCACATGACTTTGAGGAGATCGTCTTTCTATACGAAACAACAGATTGCTATTGCTGTTCGTGTTAAGGCCTTATTGTCCACTTTCGTGTAACTCAAAAATGTTCATTTATCAAAATAACGGTTTTTCTACACTCTTTCTGTTTCAAAACTGAACCGTGTACCACTGTAAATGTTTTTTTATTTTTATTCTCATCTGCTGTTAAAGTAAAAATAATGTTGCAGTAGTGGTTAGCAGAGAAGAACGGACGAAGAAAGCCTCTCAAGTAACAGGTCTAGACATGATTACAAAGGCATCGGGAAGACTGCTTTCTTGTTATCGGCAATTTCTGTATCAATTAATAAATTTCGAGGTAGGCAGGCAGAATATTCTAGTTGGTCCTAGTTGTCATGTTTCGGATGTTTTTTTCTATTCTGGCAGATGTTAGTAGCAATTGAAGAAATGGTTCGTTTTGACACGATCTGCCAAACAGCAGGTTCGAGGCGCTTTTTGCCAAGGATTGTGGCTTTATCTTAAGTCTTGCGCAAATATTAATGTTGCAGACTTTGATGAAATATTCATACTAATAATTCATGGTAGCTTTGTATAATGGAACGTGCACTTTTTTTAAAAAGGTATATTATCCGTGAAATACCTCACTATTTTAAAGGCACAATTTGAAGCTCCAAACAGCCTAACAATTTCACCTGTACTCTTTTTAGAGGTCGAAAAGAGAATGCAGTAATAGCACATCCAGTTTTTCTGTGGGATGTCGCAAGTTAAGTGAGGTTCTAAATAATTCATCGGACGACAGTTTGCTTTAGTTTTCATTGATGTTTACCGCCAAACGATAATATTAGTTTTATATAATTTTTGGGAGTAGAAATATAATGATATATTGCTTGCTTGACTTATAAACAGTTCTGTGGACATACAACGGTTATACACCAAGCTTGTTGGCATTTTGCCCGGGAACGAAGTCTATTTTAGGTTCACAACGTGCGGACCGAACAAAAGTGTGAAAGAATTCTTTTATTACTGATTTTTTTGACATAAAAACGTTACTTATTAAACCGGAGTTAACTTGCGTGAGCGATCTGAATGAAAAAACGAACACGCCACAGCACATTGGTGTTGTCTACATTACGTGAGTCAGTTGAGTTTATTCTATACTTAATCCTCAAGATTTTACTTGCTCCAAAGGCTTTTAACTAAGGCTATGAATTCTATCACTTAATCTGACAGTGTTTGAAGCCAAAAAAAATAGATCGCCGATTTAATTTGTTTTCCGCTTAATAGTAGTAGACAACACGATGCCATTTTCAAAAATTGACACGCGAAGCTTACATCAGTTTTTAATCGCTTATTCTTTTGAATTTTTGCAATTTTTGCCCACAATTGACCGACTGTTCGTTAGATACGGAAAGAATAATCTGCAGGGAACAGTCACAATTCTTTTGTAAGTGGACGTGATCAATTCTCAGGCGTATTTTAATTTCTGATTTCAGCATGCATTCTCTAATAACGGCACCAGGCCCGATTCAATAATTACCGAAAAAAAACAAAGCAAAAAAAAATAACAAAGAAAAAAAAGGAGAAAAAACAAGAACAGACAATTTAACCAAATTATTAATTAGCTCTGTTCAATCATCAGAGACCGCGATGAAGGGTTAAAAGCCATGATATTCTTCCCAGTTGGCCGTTTCTTGATATTTTTGAAACAACTAAAAAACACTTAGCTTACTTATTCCTCGCGGGTTTACGTACGTGACCATTTTAATAATTTATTCCATCGCTTCCAATAAATAAGAGAAACACCGATACAAAAGCCACAGTGATGCTCCTGAGAGTATTTCAGAATCATTTCTCTAAAAGGTATCAACATCCAGTGTTTGTGCGTAGCTCAAGTTCCTTTTCTTCTCTGAGAGGCAAAGAACAGAGCCATTCATCAGTATTTCTCTTTACCCAGGTAGGATAATACGTATCAGCAGTTGAAATTCTGAAAAGAACTCTCTCCGGGTCAACCAATATAATTCACAGCTCCATAGCCGTACCATGCAAGCATCGCCGTTTGTCAGTGTCAAATAAGGAGTCCCAGCTACTTTGTCGTAGTGGATTTGTTTTCAAAACATGCAAATATCCTGCTAGGCTCCTTTTTTTGATCAAATTGGCAGTGCAGTGTAATGAAGCTTTTATAGTTAGCTGTAAAGACTACACGCTGGTTTATGGTAGCTTCGACATTTTATTTTCCTGCATAAAACTTTTTGTTCTACAGCTTGGTTTTAAAAAAAGAAAACCTTAAGTCTGAGTTTAATTTGGAAAGTAAAATTTAACCACTCTTTGCCAATTTAACTATTAGCCAATTTTTTTGGTTTTCTTAGCTTTCTGGCACCCTTAGGAAGCTCTCTGCTAAAACAAGCCGAATTTATTACTTTAACAATGAACGTGGGTTTAATTTGCAATGCAAAATTTCCCACGTTCTAGTCTTGATTTATAGTAGGCTAGCCGCGTAAACGAGTGTTGCACAGCGTGATCCTCTTCAAGTTTGATAGGATCAAGTGCTTGCGACCCTAAAGTTTGGATTCCGATTTTTTTTTTTGCGCGTCCGAAAGTCATAAATGACAATTTCGTGACAAGCAAGTAAAACTGTGTTCATCGGGATGGGATTTGCGCCAATGGCAAATTAACATGATCGAAAGAAAAGCTATCAGATACAACAAAGCTTATTACAAATAGGGAACAGCTGTATTTAATTCAACGACATTTTACGAGCAAATCCTCTTGAAATCCCTGGAAAAAACATGGCTTCTTAATCTGAGGTGGACAAATTTGTCTTCGCCAATTTCTCGTCTGTTAGGGTAAGGGATATTGTTAACTTACAGTCCCTTAAAAATGTTTCATCGCTAATGAGTAAGTGTTTAACGTTTGGTTTCTTCTCTTGTTTCTAGTTTAAACGGATGCGTAAAGAAGGCGGGTTTCCATCACTCGTAGTGTAAAGACAGCAAATGTTGCCAAAACTGTACTTCTCGCTTTTCGTCGCGGCGGTTTCTGTGTTAGTTCATTCCAGAGAAGAAGAATCGCCGACAAGGTATGGAAAAAAAAACATCGAATATTTAACACGTAATATAGGGGAAATGATAATTATCAACATTATTTAGACTATTACATGTCGACATAATAACAAGTCACACGGGAAAGTCAATGCGAGCATCGTGTATTTATAAAATGACTCTAAATATGAAGGTAGGCTAAATAATTTCTCTATTGCCATCGGGAGCAGCAAAAATCAAATCATATGAAAAAAATTTGTTGATATTACAACAGGTGAAAATATTGATATTTTGGCGAAAGGTGTAAGGACAACGTCGATGATTTTGACATTACGTTCATAGCAATGATATTCTTGATCGTACTTCGAGCGTTTTTTATCTTAAGCGCGGGAATACGCCGTGAAGTAGCCAGGCGGCGAAAAAACGTCAAATGGCAAATTTACGGGAATGGAAAACAAAGAGAAAACGTGTATTTTTAATAAAACGACGGTGTTTTGTTTGTAAAAAGCAATTATGTTTAACATATTGCATTGTAGTCAGGGATGTTTTCATGCAGTTGAGATCTGCTATTAGGCATCTCTTATAAGTATCGTAAAGTCAACGGGTAGCTGTGTGATTTGAAGTTTGTAGCGAGCCTGGTCGACCAGCATTCTGTATTCTTTAAACTGTGCTAATTTGGAGGGATGTTTGCATTATTTTTCGACTGCCGGATATCGATATGGCTTGCTACCAAAAGAAATTTTGTTTTTGAATTCTTTCAAAGATGGTTTGGAAAGGATTTTATGTATGAAACATTTCCAGTGTATATAAAAATTGAACGAGGTAAAAATTCTCATTGATTTGCACAATGGTTGTGAATCGAAACAAACTGAGACCTCGACAGCTGTAAAATGAACATGCAAAATAAAACGACGTGTTTAGTAGAGATATTCTAAGCCTATAGCCCTAGGTTTGGGGTAATGGTTTTTTTTTACGAGGATGTTTGGCTCTGTGATTGGGAGATGGAGTCAATTGGGATGGGAAGGAGTGGCTTATTTGTTTCAAGTTTTCTTTTAATTTTTGGTCAAGATTATACGGTTTCCTCGGACGCCGAGGGAGGAAAATATTAGGGTAGGAGTCTTTTATTCAGTTATATTTCTCTATTTTCCCGCATCTGAGGACTAACTTATTTCACTTAGATCTTCCAAATACTGGAGTGGTATGAATGCATCGCATGTGCTACGCATGCTTCTGGACGAGAAGCACTACGACAAGCGATTCAGACCTAACTTTGAAGGTAAGGTAATTTGAAGGTGGAAGCGGCTTGGCCCAGTTGTTTAGGGCGCTGGATTTGAAATCTGGAGGTCCCTGGTTCAAATCCTCCGCCCTACCGCTATCTGGATTTGTTCTCGGTAGTCCAGAGTTCAACTCCTCGACCGCTTTGTGTAAATATCCAACTGGTCAGCCTCCCACCAATTTGGATTTTCGATAGTTTATGTTCTATTTGAAATATTTGTTTGTTTATTTACAGTGTCCCCAATTAGCACAACAGTGCTAAATACATTGACACTTAAGGCGGCTAAAATCAGTTCCCAGCACTTAGATTTTGATGGGTCATTATAACCATTCTTTGTTAGTTGATGCAACAATCATGGTATCACATTACTACCCAATCATTGGTGAACACGTTGTTATAATTTTCGTGACACAATAGGTTACCATAACAACAGTATGACGTGCTAAAAACACCCTTCTTTATAGCTCTGAGGGTTTATAATTCAAACTGAAGCGGCACGCCTTGTGGATCCACAGCTACTTTGACAATGTTGTGAATAAAATCGTTATCAATAACAGGACAGACGCATGAAAAACTGACGTCCATTTGTCAAATATATAGAGCGTATGCACTCATGTGTCCAGCAGCCATGCTAGTCTATTGGAACAAAACAAAATGTTTACATAAGAAAAGAGTTGAACTCCCACGGGATTGGTTTGGTACACCAACATGGCGGTCGTTTCATTATTTTGTAACACCAATATGGCTGCCATGACGTTATGTTTATACGCTCCATAGTCAGCGCACTCATGAAGTTATTTTCATTTCGTTTTCAGGTGAACCTGTAAAAGTGCTAGTATCTATTTTTATCACGTCATTAGGTGGACTCGATGAAAGGGAAATGGTGAGTAGAGTACACTAGTTAGCTAACTGATAAGTTCCTGTATTCTCATGGCTTGCATACTGCTTTTTGTATTACATTCTAAGGAGAAAATAAATGTCGGTTTGTTCAAAGCTTTTGACGCAGTCTGTAGATGCTCTGGGCCCAGTTGTGCGAAGGGTGAATAATGCTATCCATCACTATCCAGTTGATAGTGTATTTTCTTTGTTAACACTTATTTACTGGATAGTGATTTATCCAGCGGATATATAGCGTTATCCAGCCTTTCAACAACTGGGCCCTGATGTTTTATTACAAGAGCCTCTGTACTTACTGACGCCAGGCCAGCTAAATTTACCCCAAGCCTGAACATTGACGTAGAAAAATGCAGTGTTCCTCACCAGCAAATTCCCAAAGTAACAAAGATGAAAAGGATACCCACACAAATATTTAGTGAAAGTAAAATCTTTGAAATACTGGTTTTCTTTCAAATACTGCTTTTGAGAGGAATTGTGACATAACGAGTCTTGTCCAAATAAATACGTAATATCAAGAGAAGATCAAGGTAAGTTACCTTCTCTTGATAACATTCGTAACATTCATTACGAAACTAAAATGGTGACAGTATCTGGATTCAGAAGCCAAGAAGATGTACCAAAGATGTTTAGTTTTTTTGCTCTGACGTGACTAGAGATCTAATATATCAAACACGAAAGACCGTGTTTGACCACATTTCCAAACACGGAGAAGAGAGTTGAAAATACGACTCGCAGAGGAGTATTATTGACGAACTTCGAGGTGTTTGGAAATGTGGTCAAAAACGGTCTTGAGTAATATATCTTCCCAGTCAAAATTAAACTAAGGAGCCGATCGAGAAAACAGGGAAATAAAATTGTAAAAATCTACCCTAATTGAGACTGATCTGATATCCAAACACTGTCACAGTTATGGTTTTCTATGTTTAAACTTGATGAATTATTAATGAGTTTTCGAAAAGATAGTCTGAGGCAGCAAATAGCGCTCAACACTCCACGCCTCACGCCCCACATTCCAAACACCAAACTACGGCGCTCAGTTTTGAAAATGTTGGTCACACTTTCAAATTAATAACAGAGCAATTTTGCAATAAGTAGACAGGCGATAAAACTATTGCGCGCAGTGTTTTAGTAAAAGGTTACTCCCGCAACGCAGTGAGCGAGAAATTCTCTGTGCACATTGAATTTCAAGGATGTCGGTAAACGGTTTAAGGTCCTGTCTGTACTACGTCGAAGAGATTTGGAATCGGTGTTTTAACTCTGAAAATTAAATGCTTTCCGTCCACACTACGTCGGAAGAAATTTTAAAACTCGGTCAGGGAAATCACACGATTATCGTTTTCGAAAACTGGCTCCGTTTTCAAAATGTTTTCCGTCCACACTATAACGCAAAGCCGACGTTTTTAAATTCCTCCGCCGGGTTTGAAGAGCGATTTCGAAAAGCTCCGTTTTCGTGGTGGATTAGTGTAGACGGTAGGACAAACCGTAGAAATATAATAAAGCTGCATTTTCAAATTTTCCCGGCGTAGTGTAGACGGTTGTTAAGAATTGCACCGCAAAGTTGTGGCATTTGCACGGACCTTAATTTGTTTTATCGTTGTCTCAATTGAAGCAATTTGAAAGTACGTTCTTCATGCGGCAATCGTGGTACGACTCGCGGCTTAAGTTTGGAGAATACTATGACAAGAGAAACCTGACGCTAAATGGAGACATCATACAACAAATCTGGATTCCCGATACATACGTGAACAACGAAAAGTCCAGCTCCGCACCCAAGACAGAATTTCTTCTGAAAGTATATCCAGATGGAAAGGTTGACTACAGTCAAAGGTAATAAAATATAATAAACCATTTTACAGTTGTCTGCTCAGTGACCTGGCCTTTGAAGAGCAGCGAGGCTGGAGGTCACCTTGTTTTCATACAGACCTCACTGTTTTTGTTATGTGAATTAAGTTGTTATAATGCTAGCTAGTTGGCTAGTTAGAGGTTTGTATCAAAACAAGGTCACCTCCAACCTCACTTGCATTTTTAGGCCACGTAACTGGGCACACAAATGAAAATAGCCTATTATATCATCGTGAAGTTCCAAAGGCAACAATAGTACTCACTTTTATTATTATGTCGTAAAATTCCGAAAATGAGGCCCCTCAAAAGGCAATATATTACTCAGTCTTAATGTAGAATAACGTGTTTTTTATGCAAGATTTAACTTGTTTATCTCGCTATCGAAGTATCTCCATTTTACCACAGTGGGTAGGCTTATAAATTGTAAACATTTTAGCTACTCAAAAGTATCGACCCACCAAAAGTTGCGGCCCTCCGACAGGAAAAGGCTGAATCCGAAAGTAACTGGGGTCTTTACTTTTGAAACTTCACGGTATTCTGTGGGAGTACCCCCCCCGTGCTGAATCTCGGTAAACTGTGCAAATGAAGGTAATTTTTGAAGTTGATGGCCAGCTTACACAATTGAAAGAAATAGTCATACGTCAGTTGGAAACCTGAGATTTATGTAAGATCAAGAGGCCAGTACAGAGAATCCAACAAAGGCTTATTCAATCCCGCATCCCTCCACTCTTTTTGGCTCAATCCCGCCATCCCGCCCAACTCAGAATGTTCACCTCGTCCCCGCCTGGTTAGAGTTCCAGTCCTCCGCGTAACGCCGTTAAGAGTGCTTTTTCTGTTTTCCATCCTGCATTCCGCCGCCAATTTAAAACTATCCCGTATACCGCTTTGTCAGGATGGTAAAATCCCGCCCCGTCGAAGTATTTTTATTCCGCATCCAGTCATTGAAATTCCAGTCTTCTCGCATCCCGCTTCCACTTGTACTCGCATCCCTCCAAACCCATGCTCGACCAATGCAAAATGCGTGGTGGGATTAGAGAGAAAAAGCGCGGCCTTACTCCCGTCTCACACTAATACTGACATTCCCAAGGGAATATCCTGTCTTCGGGGTAATTCTTCTTCGGTTAGACTTATTTTGTTTGAATGAATTTCTTTGATAAGAATTAATGGATGTGACTGCTCATTCCACTGTTTTAGAATGACTGTGATAGCGGCGTGCAAGATGGATCTTCGAAATTATCCCATGGATAAACAAAACTGCAGCCTGCTGTTTGAAAGTTGTGAGTAGATTTCTCTTTCGTTGCAATTAATGTGCATTTATAACCTAAAACTGTTAAGACACTAAGGAACTGGAACTGTGCCCATTTGTTCGGTTTATCAACGTAATCTGCTGAGAAGGTTTAACCACAGCAAAAGATTTATTAACTTTAACAACTGTAGCGAAAAGAAGGCGTTGATACTTATCCTCTTTATCAGTAACAATAAACGAAGAATAAAACGGGATGAAACAACACTCTTATCCGTAGTCTATTCAATAGATCTTGTTAAGATCCTGAAAATAAGCTTAAAGCGGTTTTCACTTGAGTGTCGTAAAACCAAAACTGACCAAACCAATTCCTGACTGACTGGCTACTCAGCTAATCTCAAACTGTGGTAAAACCAAAGTAATTGCCTGATTATTTTCGACACTCAATTGAAAACCGTTGAAGTACATAACTGACTTCTCCTGCAGATGGCATGACCACTGACGACTTGTACTATAAGTGGGACGCTAAGGAGGGCAGAGATAATCTTGAGAGTGCCGTGGCCATAGGAGATGAACTGATTATGTCACAGTTTGCGGTTGACGGGACTTCAGTGGATGAAATAACAGCTTCATATGTAACAGGTACAGGTAAAACCGACTTCAGGCCTTATTGTAATAATGACATTTTCATTCCATACTAAAATTACATGACGAGGCTAAACGACTTTGTCATCGATTTTCCATAAAGCCTGGTTTTCACCATGACAGAAGCTGAAAGGGCGTCTTGTCTGAGAAGCAGTTCAAGTTCCAAAGTATACTTAATGGTTCTCTGTAACTGATCCTCGGGTTTAAAGTTGATATCCCTGTTCTTGATTCGAATGCGAAGTGTTTGGTTTTCAGTTTACAACACCTGGGCGTCGCCATGTTTACTTCGGGTAATTTATGACGACATTGCGCAATTAGAGATCTCATTGTGGAGTCTACGGAAGAAGATTTTTTATTGGAACTGTACATATTCATCTGGAACGTGAATTACAAACGATTAGAAGCACTTTTATATCCTAGATTCACGCAACACTGTATTTTAAAAACGCCCAACCGCGTAATGACGTCATAAAATCCGATCAAGCTTTGCAAATTTGAATGGAAAAGAAATTTGGGAAAAAATTTTAAAATGAGTTTTCAAGCTAAATTTTCCGAGCGAGATTTATCATTACAATAATTCGACGTCAGGATCTCTGAGAATGTATATAGGTCATATAACGCAGAGGAGTCGATAGTGTTCATGTTTTTACGTCAAACAGACCGTTACTTGCCGTCACCAGAAGCTACCAGTCCATTGTTCTCACATTACGTTTTGATTGGTAACTTTTCTTCTAGGTGGCCCGGCTCGAGTAGTTGCACTGTAATTTTAGCCAGCAAACGTCAATAAATGCAAATTTATTTTTTACTTCAGGTACTTTCTCCATGCTGCAGTTAACCTTCTATATCAGACGAAAAAAGTTCTACTACGTCGTTTCGATTTACATTCCTACAATCCTCATCACCATTCTGAGTTGGGTCTCGTTTTGGATTCCACGAAACTCGCCGCCAGCTCGGGTCGCCCTCGGCATCACGACAGTTCTCGCGCTGACGACTTTGATCTTCGGAATTCAAGCGTCGATGCCGAAGGTCAGCTATGTGAAAGCGATTGACTGGTTCCTTTGTGTTTCCTTTCTGTACGTATTCGCTGCTTTGGTAGAGTATCCGAGTTCAACTTTTGTGAAGTCACAAGCGAAGAAGTTGACCCGAAAGGGAACGAACATTCTACGAAAGGTCAAAGGACTGAAGGATGATCCAGAAGATTTATCGCTTTCAAGAACCAGATATGGCAGCACAGACAAGGTCAGTTTAAAAACGGACTGCGAACTGCAGACTGCAGACTGCAGACCGGGGGTAAAATGCAGACTGAGGATGAAATGTTAACTGAATCGTGTAACGTATTAACGCTGTTTATTATATGGCTAGCTCCGTGAGCGGGCAAGATGAATCAAATCCTGCGCTGTGATTGGCTACCCGAGCGGGCAAGATGGAGCTATCTTGCCTGNTTGTTCGGTCGAGATGGCTGGATATTGGCCTCGTTCTTTTTTTGCGAGTTTATGGACCTCGACTCCGTCTCGGTCCACAAACACGCAAAAAACGAACTTGGCCAATATCCTGCCATCTTGACCTCACACTTGATCAATAACCCATACGTAATGGCTAATATACCGTGATGCCAAGTCAGTAAAAACTCTTCAATTGCATTATCCAATGATGCAGTTTTTTGATAATTTAAACTAGCACTTATTTATCAATTTGTTACAGGAAGGTTTCCTTTGGGGCTTCATTCAAACTATCCAACTGGCATTTCCGCCCCACGAAGCTCCCCCGGGGTTTATCCCCTGTTATCTCCCGGTATGGCCAGTTTCTCATGATGTAAGATTCCGGGTTAATTATATCAAACATTTTTACTTTCCTAGGAGGAATCTGATCTACGGAAACTAGCTAGGAGCAAAACTGGAGAAATGAACAGCAGTTACGAACATTCACTGATTGAAAGTAACATGGATGGCGGGAGTTGTCTCCATGCCTCGCACGGGCGGCGAAGACGACTGTCTACTGATGACCCAGAGGACGATTATGAAAACAATTTTAGAGACGAAGGAAGCGTTAATACTGTAGATAAATATGCAAGGATTTGTTTTCCTGTTTCTTATTTACTATTTAACATCTGCTATTGGATTATCTTTTTATCATCATGATAAGGTAAATTTAATGATTAAACTGTAAGATAAGAGCAAGATCAAAATTAGCAAAACTAAATTGGAATGAACGCCTATTTTTGTGTCCAATGACATTACCGTAGACACGCACACGAGGCAAAGTACGATTCTTTTACTGCCACGCGTCGCATTCGCGTTTTTTTTTTACACTTGTATGTTCGGGGTGCAATTGTAAATAAACCTTGCGCTGTCTTTATGAACTAATTTTATATAATAAAAACGACTTTGACTCGGAGCGAACCCGGCTAACAATGAGCCAAATGCTTATCATAATAATGCCTCTTAACGAGTTAACGTTGTATTTGATTTCATAAGTTGAAATGAACGAATCTTATGTGTCATGGCTTTGTTGGGCGCCCATCTCTGTGAGTAAAACCTCGTAGTTGTGGTAAACATAACAATACTTGTGTTGTGATGCTCTAGAGAATCTGGATGGTATAACTTTTTTCGAAAGATTCAACATCTAAAATCATACCGTAGAATTCCGAAAGTAACGCCTCCTCCCCATCCCCGCCGAAAATAACAGCTCCCCGAAAGTAACGTGAGAGTAAAGTAAGAGAAACTTTCTGTTCTCAAGCGCAATGCGGATGAAACAGCTTGACTGCAGGAGTGAACAACTTGAAGAGTTATTTGGAATTTTATTTCGAACTAAACTGAATGTTATGATATACTGCAGTGTATCGACGGGTAATAAGTTGCATTGCGATATAATACAACCATTATATTTTCGCCCTACAACACCATGATTAGGGCCCTTTTTGTTTATACAGTCTGTTTCGTTTATGTGGGTAGTTTGGAATATACAAAAAACGCAACTTTTAATTCCATGTGTTACGTGTCCGCTTTTTAATGGGAAAAGTAACGGCTACCCGTAAGTAGCAACCCCTTTCGCCTGCTAATTCCAAAAGTAACGGGGGCCGTTACTTTCGGAATTCTACGATAATTGTTTTTATTTATATAATTTACATAGATCACATTTCCCGGAGTATGAAAGCTTTGTGCTGCGCTTCACTAATTAGTTTAGTTATCTACGGCTGCCATATTCTATTTTAGATCAAAGCGAACAAAAGAAAACAGTTTTCTATAACGCAGGACCACTACTTTGCCAGTAAAGGTAAGGTAAAGTCTGAATACGAGCTAAGTGGACCATCAGGCCGGCGCTTATCTCCGGTTTCTTTAGCGTGAAGCGACTGGGAGTATTTCTAATCCCCCCCTGGATGAGATACTAGGGTTACCCTCAGCATTAAGTTTGCTGGTGCCCAATTATACACCCGGGTGGAGAGAGGCACTGTGAGAGTAAAGTGTCTTGTCCAAGAACACAACGTAATGTCCCCGGCCAGGGCTCGAACCCGGATCGCTGGATCCGGAGGCGAGCGCACTAACTATGAGGCCACCGCGTCTCCCACACTATTTTGTCGGGTAGATGATAAATTTGAATCAGTTTCTAATAATGTGGCTTTTTAAACTGTTGAATCTAACTCTATTTCATTCTTTTTGCTATTTCTTTTTCTTTGTGATTATCTACTTTCTCTGTTTCGCTTCTGTCCTGGTGTTTTTTCTCTGGAGGTTTTGTTTCTACTTGTGCTTGGTAACTGAGAAGTCTTTGTTTTTCCTGGTAGTCCTGTCTGCTTTCTTGTTAATGGACTGTTTATTCGAACAGGTCTGGCGATGGAGCTCTTTGCGTTTAAACTGTCGCTTTCGCACCTGGAAAGACGCTCTGTAAATGAGACAATACCGCTCGTTAAGTATACATTCAGACAACTGAGTTTTTTTTTTCATAATTTTTAATGTCGTTTAGTCTTTACTTTTAAATAGATTCCATGTTGCCCGGGGTGCGAATGTTCAGCAATAGATGACGTCAAAATGTTGTAAGAACAAAAAGGAGGCACACGAGGCGATAGCCGAGTGTGTCACTGATTTCTTACTACCTGTTGACGTCTTCTGTGATCTATTACTGAACAGACGCACGGCAACATGGAATCTATTAGTTTCATATAATAGAAAAACTCCTATTCGTCTGTTCTCCAATTGATCGTAAGTATGAACCAATCACAATGCGAGAACAATTCGACTTATTATGTAATAAGATAATTGATGTTAGTGTCTCGTAGGGAATTGCATGTGTTAGAAAGTTGTTCGTCCTAAATTTGAGCCCACGATCGACCTCTCATGTTCGAACTGAGGAGACGCCCAACCGAGCTAACGTCCTAACGTCACAAATATCTTGCGAAGTGCGCTTAAGGAGACTCGTAGAACATCACGCAAAGCACACTAAAACCACAACGCATCTAATTAAACATTAACGTTTTCTGAATGATTTGTTTCATGATAAAACCATTATCCTACACAATCCTGCAGATATCGCCTGATCCTAGCTGACTCAGGCTAGGGCCTCGATCGTAATCTAAGTGTCGGGTGATTTCACAGGATAATTCACGAATATCCTCAGTTGCTGAAGCGCTCAGAAGGAGTGGATCATAAGAAATCTCAGAAAGTTTAAGACTCAGGCTCTGTCCACACTACGCCGGAGGAATTTGAAAACGGAGGTTTCACTCTGAAAACGCATCAAATGTTTCTCGTCGGCACTACACTCGAGAAGTTTGGAAACGCAACAATCACCGGTCATTTTGATTTGTGTTTGAGTAAACTGACTCTGGCGCGGAAACCGTATGACAATCGTATCGTCATGGTCTTCAAAAAGCTTGGTTTTCAAAATCGTTTCCGTCCACACGAAAACGGAAAGCCGGCGTTTTCAAATTCCTCCGGTTTGAAGAGCGTTTTCGAAATGCTCCGTTTTCGTGACGGATTAACCGGAGAAATAACGCTCCGTTCTAAAATTCCTTCGGCGTAGTGTGAAGAGGACCTATGAGGTCTTTCTCAATTATATGCTATATAAATCACGTTCCTTACCTAAAAACGCTGGAGTCACTATAATGACGTCATTTAACATCGGCGTATAACTATCACCTTCTGTTTCTCCTTTTTCTGAAAGATTTGCGCAAATAAATCAGTTATTACATCAATGTCACTTTTAGAGCAATTTTCACTGGAGTGCCGAAAGTAACTTTAACTTCGCTAAACAGTTGGCTTAAAAAAACTGGCGGCACTTCAGTTGTTATTCAATCGGAAGTCGGACTAAACCCGATCGTGACTCGTTCGCACACGTTTTCCGGCGGCAATTTCAACCTGCGGCCCGTTCCACGAAAAAAGGGCAATTTGTATTGAACATATATTCCACTCGGACATAGGTATACTGTTCGTGTTTTGATCCATAAAATGTTAAATTTTTTTCAAATTCAGTGGCCGAGTAACCATAAAACCGATACTGTTTTAACTTTATCTGAAGCAACGTTTTAAAAGTCTTTTTTTCTTCTTGTTAGTATAAATGTCGCTGAGTTTTGTTCATTATTTGTGATTTCTTTGTTAGCAATCTTCAGAATTCTATCTATTTCTCGAGCATCTATTATATCTATTATTTACTGAGAATAATTAGTTTTATTTGGAATCATCTAGTTAATCAATTCCTTTAATTACCGATTTTTCGCATGGAAGGTTCCCCGAAAAAAATTGCACAGACTGCAGTCGGCAGAATTTGTCCACCCCTCTCGATGAGAGCACGATACGTTTGGCAGTTTTTGCAAGTGTGCGAGTGTTTTTAGCTTTAAATTACTTATTCATAAGAGGCTTATTCATAGAAATGTCTCGCTGTGAATATTGAACCAAGAACAGTGGAGCAAGGTTGGACATAAATCTAGAAAAGTCTATGGTGCGATGGCGAAATATTTAAGTTAAAACAAAGATGCCATGAAGGGGTCAGAAACTTTACAACGATGAATATATTGACTTAACAAACTAAACAAAAAACCTGGGAATTTATTTTCAAAACAACAATTTTAAAAGTTCGATGAAGTCGCGATAACGACAAAGGTCTTACCGACTCACAACTTTTTTTACCTAAGAGAAAATAACTCGGGAGCTAGGGAGTAACTTACTTTCCACTCTTATCAGCACAAATGACTCTCTTGCTTTCAAAATCTCTGTGGCATAAGTCGTGGGATGATCGGCCAAATACTTCAGGTTTCCTGATTCATCAGACAAATCCACGGTCGCTAAGACAAAGCAGTGAACTATGAGTGAATAATGGTTCCATGCGGATCCAAGCAACAATTAACGCACCTGAGCTCGTAATTGAAGTACACTGTATTAAAGTTACGTAGAGTTCTTAGGTATTTACCATCTTTAGTGCAGTTACATCGTCTTTTGATGTCTTCTAACAGTATGTTTGTGCGACAGTTTGGGTTAAAGATTGATTCTTCGCCGTCTACAAGAGAGAAATTGAAATCGCTTGAACCGTACGGTCATTTTGTTCAAAGCAAATAAAGCCACTTCAATGACACATATCTAAGACATTTCTTACCTCCAAACCGAACAGTTATAAACATTTTTCACTTATTTGTTCCTTTTCAAGTGGTATAAAACTCAACTTTCTTGTTAGCGGTTACCATAGATCTGATTGCACAGTTATTCACATCATGACATCAACTAAATTTTGCGGCTCTAGAGTAAGAATGAAATACAATAGCGTCGCTCAGAGCCTAATGAAAACAAATCAAGCGTTGAGCCCAATCGAATGGCATACGTGCTTCACAAAAGCGAGAACTAATTACCATGGCTTTACACTTCACACTGATTATTTGCATTAAGATTTAGCACCAATACAAGTGTAATTTGAAAATAGATCAATAAGGCCACCATGATTTTTTAATAATGTACTTTTTTCAAAGGAACAGACATCTGCCGTCAAAATGATTTTCGAGGCCTCCTCCAAAAAACCTCTAATTTTCCACTGTAATTCTTTGCTAGATTTTGCTCGACCGAGAAGCTCGGCTCGACCTGATTCGATAAAATTAAAGGAGCTAACTAACACAGTTTGATCGACTCTTCTTCAAGCGATTGTTATATTCTCTTTTTCCGTTTGCTTCAGAAAAGTTCGTTCGCTTGACCTCCGAGTAAAGTTAATGCTCTGCACAGCCACTTGAGAGCTAATCCTTCGTTTCAAAATTGTTTGCCAAGCCTTAACAATCGGATGGTCGGAAATTAAAAGTAGTGACGGCGGTAGATTTAACTTCACACTGCGATTTTAATTTACTGAAAGAGTTTCCGGGGATCAAAGTGACAACAAACGACTTTCAAAAAACGAAGTATCTCAGTTCTTCTGTGAAGTAGGGGACCCTCGTAGGGTGCAATGCCTAGCAACCAGGTTGAACTTGTAAAATTTTAATTCAGTTACCAAGGGAAGTGTTTTGTTGGGATGCCCGGGTACAGGTCAAGTTATATGTTGCCACTTCTGTTACTTTGTGTCAAATTGAAGTTAAAGGAGCTTCGTCACAGTTTGCACATCTTGAAAAGTTAGGCCTGTATTTTTCAAGTTCGTCATTTGTAATCCGCTTTAATCTTCTCCCTCCTTAACCATCCTTGTTCCTTCATGGTTTATTATTATCTCTTAGGTCTTTTCCTATCTTAGTTAACTATTATTTTCAGGTTTCCTTCAATTTAGAGGTCATTTTGTACGTGACCAAAATAACTCGAAGTAAGGTGACTGAGATCCTTTATTCTACAGCAGTGTAAAGCTATGTAAGGATGATTAGTTTTTGCGATGCGAAAAGCAATGAAAACGTACCTCAAAGTACCATTTTACAAACTGGCAGAAATAAAACATAACAGAGATGAAACGTAACACCAAATGGGGGTAAATAGTTAAAGTTGGGGCGAATTTGACGGCTTGCGAAAGAGGAAATTGTAAAAAACAAATCGCTTATTCAGTTATTATCATTATTTTTCTCACGATGCAATGCAACGTCTGTAAAGTTGCTTCACACGTTTTAGGTCCTTCGTCGTGGCAAACCCAAAGGGCAAACAGGCTCTGGCGAGGCTGCATCCACACCTTCCGTTAAACGAAATAAAATTATCTGCTCACGCGCAACTAGATTCTACTTCTTGTGCTCGTGGAAGGGTTTTAAGTTACACTATTTGTCGGTTAAGTTTGTCGCGGAAGCAAACAATGTTGCGGTAAAATTTTAGAGAATTTGCCTGTTGGAGTTTTTAAGTTGTTCGAGGAAGGGACACCTGGTGACGAGATCCCTTCCCCAGGGACCCTTCCCCACCTATATAATTTGTAAGTGATAAAACAGAACTGAGAATTTTTACTACTTTCTATAATTGTCTCGACACCAGAGGAAAGGTCGCCACGATAAAGCACAAGGAAATCTGTTTGACACAGCAACAAACGCCATGAAGACTACTTTCACTAGAAAAATATTTATTCGGTGGATAGTTTAATTTGTACAAAAACGCAACACGTAGGGTCTCCTGAACAATTTACACAGTATATTCATTTTGCGTTTCAATTATTGCTCAGTACGATTCTTTCGGCTTTCTACTTTCATCAAAACACACCCTTTTCTTCCCCAATCTTTCCATGTCCACTTGATCAATTTGCTGTCGCTTTAGTTTACAACAGCTTAACCGTCCTTCCTCGTACCTCTTCCCTGCACCGATCCCTGCCTGTTTCTTACTCATCCAACACCATCTCCTGCCCACTGCTCCTTCCCTCCCGTGCTCCCATATCGCCCTCTGCAGTCCCCTCCTGTCGGCTCCTTCTCCCCTCCATCCTTCCCATCTCTGCGTCCATCCCACCCTGATTCACATCTTTACCCTTCCCCTGCCTGCTCCGTCTCCCTTCCTTCGTCACTAGGCCCTCGATCCTGGCAGCTTCCTCCTTCCTCCTGTCTTCCTCCTCCTGCCTCTGTTCCTCGTGCAGCTGTTTCCTCCACTGGTCCTCTATCACCAGCATCAAGTCATGATTCATACGACTGCGGTAGTCAGGCTGAGGCTCACGGGCAGCTGTGGCCAGAAGAATCTCCTGTCTGGTGGAAGGATTGACGGGAAAAGGTTTAAAAAGAACACACGAAAGTGGAATATATATCTTTGCTGCTACTACACGGGTACTGTGAATTGTAATTTGCTATTTTTAATGGAAATAATCAGTAACTGTAACTAATTGTCCGCTAACAAAAGATAGCGGAGATATTAATGCAGTTTTTAATAATAGAATAAGTCGAATTATTCTCGCAGTTTGATTGGTTCTTACTTATGATCAATTGGTTGACAGGCACATAGATAACGTCATCAATTTTTCTTTAACAGATGGCATAATTATTCGGTCAACGAGTAGCGAAATGTAAGAAATTAATAGAAACGATGAAGCTCATGACCCATCGCGGCCCTAAAGCCTGAGTTGAAATACATTCACACCTTAAGTTTACTTCAAAATCAAGAGATCTTGGATAAAATGTAACAAAAAGTATCAAAAAAGCGAAATTTGGGTAGAGAAAAGCAATCATTGAAGATGCCTGTTGAATGACATTCTAATTTACCGGTAACTTCTCTTGAAATCTCGGCCTGACTTGCAAACGTTATGCGATAAAATTGCTAAAAATAAAATCTTTCTACACTTCTTACCCTCCATACAAAACAAAATAAAATGCTCTTAAAAATACCTTAACGAAGGTCGCTTAGGACCCTTCTTGACTGCAGGAGCGGGTTTGTTCAGCGGTGTCGCGCGTGCTCGGGGCCTGAAGCGACTGCTGGGTGGCGGCACGACTGGCGGAAGTGGAGGAAGTAATACGGCTGACAAGTTGCCCGCGGCCCACGAAGGAAACGACGAATTTACGACATCGAGCAATGGAAGTTTGCTGTCGAGATCGGATTCAATCTGCAGGAAAACGGGCATAACATAATCAGCGTGACAGGTAGAATTTGAAGGATGCAAAACTGCGAAATAAGTCTTTCGTTACTGGATCTTTCTGCACTGATTAGATTTTGTTATAGGAACAATGACCCAAGCTGGCATAACAATTTTTTTTTAAGTTCGTCATTTGTAATCCTTGTTATATCTTCTTCACCCGTAACTATCCTTGTTCCTTAATCATTTATTATTATCTCTCTGGTGTTTTTCTATCGTAGAAAACTGCCATTTTCAGGTTTCCTTCAATTTAAAGGTAATTTTGCACGTGGCCAACATAACTCAAAATACCGTGACTGGGCTCCTCTGACGAAAAAAAAAAATGCTTAGGGCAGTCGAGTTACCTTTGTCAGTAGAGGAAAAATTGGAAAACAAAGGACTCACTCTGTTCCTCATGTGAGATCTACGTATCAACTAAGTGAACGCATCAGCTTTAACTTACCTGCGCTAGTTTCCACGCCTCTAAGACACGAACATCTCTCTCTTGTGAATGATGCCTCATAAGTTGATTCCAGGCCACTCCGCGTATTCCGTCTTTTGTGCCATCGCCCCTGGAGTCGCGACAGATTCGCACCAGGCCCTGCACGGCTGCGAACCTGACTCTCCAACTCCAATCCTTACGAGCAAGCATTTGATCTGAAAGACGACGACAGTGTGAGAGTATTCACTGAACACAGTGGAACTGTGTAGAACAGCAGGGGGTATTCCCAGGAAAAAAGGGCGGGGCGTGCGGCCCGCTTCCTAAAACCCAAACCCTATTCAAGACCAAAATCTGTAATTTTCCCTAACCTATTTATGACCTGATCAACAATTCCATTCCCTATAATTTAAGACCTAAACCTTAATTCAAACCCTCTTTCACACCTGCCTTACAATTAGTTCTCTTGTTCAGATCGATGTCAAAGGCATTGTGAAGGGTTTTTGCTGATGGTCTTATCTTATCATCAAGTTGATGAAAAAATTCTACTGAAAAACATACCTACTATTCAAGACAAAAGCGCAAAATCCATACCCTATTTGAGACCAAAATGGCAAAAATCGATACCTATTTCTTACCAAAACGGCTAAAAAATCCCTACCCTTTGGGCCGCACATACCTATATAGCCCAAATAAGGGGGTAAAACCCCCCCGGGATTACCGAAGAAAACAAACAATCTGTCTTTTTACTGACAACAACATGCTACAATCTTTACTGACTATATAACACTGACCGGAAGGAAAATATTGAGTTATTCCTTCTTCAGACTTGCTTTAATTTGTTTTTCAGAAAACAATTCTAATTGTAATAATAAGTTAAAATATAGTTTGGTGACTTTGACAAGAAATTCAAAATTTCCCCGACGAGATACTGAAGTCCCTGACTTTTCCCTGCCCTTCAAAAAATTCCCTGAATTATTCCTGCACTGTATCAACCTTTAGAAAGTAGAGCGGAAATAAGCGCGCACCTTGTTGCAAGGTAAATCTTAATTTCAGCAAGTCAAGAAGTCCCAGGCCTTCCCGGGACATAGCGTTTCTCTTGCCATAAACGGTAACCTTCCGGTTAGCCTCGCTTCCAAGCAGGGCGGTTTTCTGAATGATGGAAGTCTGTCCATTCATACAGATTGACGTCATACAGTCCGTGTAGAGATAAGCTAGTTCCCAGCGCCATCCGCTCAAACCAGACACACTCGAGAACTGTGATGTACCTGTTTTTATGCTACTCTTGTCATCTGTAACGAATCAACAAGAAACACGTTAGAGTTCACATCCAGACGGAAGTTCCTCGAAGAAGTATTTATTATTTTTAGACGACATAAAGGTGTTTTTTTCTTCTTCTTTTTTTCTAAATTGGAGCTTGATTTGAAAAGAAATGGGGAAAGAAAGATGTCCGAAAATGGATAATTCTTTGTAAAAGATAATGGAACAGTGCGACTTACTGTTTAGCCAAATTTATTTGCGTCAGCTGTAGCATGAAATGTCACCTTGTCCAAAGTTTGACTGGACCCTAACTTATTGATTGCTTTAGCTCCTAGTATTATATTACCAATAAAAACCTTAAACCCCTCGCCTTATGCCTGACAAGGGTGTCTGTGCTGTGAGATACAAGACGTTATTTACAGGAAACTCACCTTCATCTGCTAATGGAAGCGTGACAGAACTACCCTGAGTGGGAACACTGTACAGACTGTCTTTTGTGAACGATCTCTCCACACGTGCCCCAGGAACCCCACCCTCAGTAGTCGAAACCTCGGGCTCCTGAATATTAAATCGAACCGCTGTTCCACCACGGGCGCGTGCAGACGCAGCAGTTTCTTTTGAACCATCAGTTTGTTTTGACTTTTTTATTTGAGATTTTGGCGGCTTTTCTGTTTCATCCTCCGATTCAGAAGAGCTCTCGGCTTTCCTGGCGTCTGTTCGTCGTGTTTTCTTGTAGGTTTTAGACACGTTGCTATCTGACCTAGCGTTCACGTGACCAGATCTTCCACGGCGCCCACTCTCAACACTGCTAACATCAGCAAAACTGGCTTCAGAAGATGTGTCACTCAACGAATCGCGTGACAAAACGCTCTCTTCTACATCCGCTGGATGCGTGACCTGCTTATCTTCCAGGTCAAGTCCAGCAAAGTCACGCAAGCCTAGAACTAAACTTGGAGTCTTTCCCAAGGATAAAAAGTCGGAATGTGATCGATTTTTTGCTTCCTTGAAGTTCAAATCAGCGCCTGCAAAGTCTTTGGCGTGGAAGGACTGCTCTTCGGTCATAGTCGACAGGCAGTTATTGCAGAGGTGAATGTGACGCGCATGCGCCGCTGATATCTCCGCTGGTCTGGTGAATATACCGGCGGCTAGAGCTTGGAACGTGCGCAGAACGGCAATCTCATGCTTGGACACCTCGGTCAACACCTGGAAAGCACAGCATACATCCAACCTGTAACAGGAGAGGAGAAAGTCTGGGTGAGAGGGTGGATACATATAGGAGAGATTCAGGGAAGGGGCACCTTTAATGGAAAAGTATGTTGTACGTTTGGTAGTTCTAAAAGCCAAGAAACTTCACCTACGTTTGATACCTTACTTCATTGACATTTGTGACAATATATAGCCCAAGGCCTGCTCTAAGTCCCCCATGAAAAGGTCGGGGATGCTCGTTGTCTAGTTTAGGGGTATAAATCAAGCATTCTTGTCTCTCTTAGGATGTTCATGACAAAAAAAAACCACTATTTTTAGCCGTCAAAGTATCTTTAAGGCGCACTCCATGAAATAATGATAATAAAAACGCTCATATTTCCGTTTTTAGGTTCAATTTCTGCCGGTCCTTTGAGTCGGGTCTACTGGCGCAGGCTCCTTTCCTGAACGGTGGCTGGTAATTGAGCCTATTCCATTTTAAGTGGTATCTTTCAGGGGTCAAATAAAGCTTGAACCACGCCCAAGATTGGTCTCCTTTAGGGGAACTGGTTGGCTGGCTACCAAATCAGTGATAACAGATGATTATCAATTTTGATGTGATTAACCTATAAAACAAATTATTGCACAGCCTGCTATATCATATACCATACATGTAAGTTGTCATACATGACCATACCATAATTCTGTAGTCAAGCCTGTTCCACACATACTGAGTCCCTCCAAAGCCTGCCTCAGTCCAGTCCCCCTATGCATAACACTCCTCCATACATCTAGAGCATGCCAGAGAGTTGGTGACAAATCATGAATGCTACTGGCTGCTGCAAGGCTACTGTGGACTGGGCCGAGGGAAGCAGCTTCATTGAAAGCCTACAAACAGAGACAGATATCATTAGAGTGGTTTTCATTTGAGTGTCGAAAAATAATTTGTTTTGCAATTACTAGGCGATGCGATTGGCTTATAAAGCCTGTGCCAAGTTTTCATCCAATCAGAAGTAAAACCAAAACCAATCGTAACTTGTTCACACACGTTTTTCCATGCCTTGCGTCAGCTTCATGCTATTTCTTTGAGTTTTGATTGGCTCACTGTATTGTCTATGTCCCTTGTGACTGGCTAGACCGATTACTTTGGTTTTGGTTCAGTTACGACACTCAATTGAAAACCGCTCTAATTAACTAATATGTTTTATTAATTGACTGAAGGTGTTGCCCTTGTTGTGATTGGCCTGTATTAATAGTGTGATACACATGCCCTGTGCAGACTGCGATTGTGCAGTTCCAGAAAATATCCATACCCACCATTTCCCATAAAAGGGATTGGAATTTCCTGGGAAATGGGGGTTCTGTAAGACCAAAAAATTTAAAATGTATGACACTTAATTGGAATTTTCAGAGGGGTAGAGGGGTCTTGGAAAAAATCCCATCAGATTCCGTAGGGGAGGTACATGTATGGATATTCCCTGGAAATTCACAAGGAAAGAAATTTTGTTTCATTGGAGTGTGAGAGCAGAAAACTATGTTTCATAACTGCTTGTGCACAAATTTACATCAGAAAGCACTGTGGTCACACTCAACCATTGTTGAATGCCTTTTAAATATCAGTCTTTTATCTTTTATATCAGTTTAAATATACATAAACTTGGCTTTTTAATAATTACTGATTTAACTGCATGGAAATTCAGAAACTTAAAGGGGATTGAATTATTTAGGTTAATTTATTCACTCCTACCAGATCACCACTTCCTTGTTCCTCTTCCTCCTCTTCCTCGAGTAACAGTGGTAACCCCACCCTCCCTCCCTCAGTAGCCTCCACAACAGTTGCCTCTACGACTGATTTCTCCTGGCTTGCAAGTGCTGACTCGTGGGCTGTGGCTGGTTCAGGTAGCGGTTCTATGATTGAAGATTCATCTTGGTTCGGTTCACCACAACCAGTGCAAATAAGCTGACCCTGGAGCAAACAAGGACAAGATTAAAAGGGCACAAAGTTAAGTTTTTACTTTTTTTTCTATGCTGCTATATTTACATGTACATCCTCTTTTGTTTACTGGTTAATCAATCACTCACCACTTCTTTGATGTATCTCACAGCCAACAAAACTCCTGGAAATGATTTGTAACCCTCTTCCTGTTCATCTGGAAGTCCTAAAAGTCCACAGCATTGACATCAAAATCAATTCAGCCTTATGCTCCTAAAAATTTAGATCAATATCTTCTATTCTGTATTTCCTACCCATTTTACAATGTGTGGTTGCAGAAAATTTTTATACTCCCCTCACAGAAGGGATTGAATTTTCCTGGGTGGTGGGGGGTTAAAGAAGACCAAAATAATAAGAGAAATGTACGAAGCTTAACTGGAATTTCCAGAGGGGTGGGAGGGGGCTCTTAGTTAAGATCTCTTCCATGGGGAAACTACATGTATGGATATTTTCTGGAACTACAGAATAAGGATTTGCTGCCATCATAGGCCTGCAATACATGCAAGAGTCTATAGCTCTCTGTAGACTGACTACAGCTACAAACCCTTTGTATGCATTGCATGCCTGTTATTTGTTTATGAAAAATGAAGCTCTCTGTATGCATATCTGGCCTAGGATGATAGCCAACTTATTCTCCTTGGGATAAGTTGTTTCTGGCCTCTTACATGATCAGATGTTTTATTCCCCATAACCTGTAAACTGGAGTTGGTTACGAAAATGTGAAGAGAGGTTACAATTAACCATCACAAGTGCCAGTCACTAGTTTAAGTGTTGACAAGCCCTGTCCTCCTAGATCACATTACACTACAATACATTTGACCTTGTGCCCATACAGTGTGCAAGTAGGAGAAAAATTGGTCATTATTATACCTTGTGGTATTTAAGAACAAAAAATCAAGCTACCACTGGAAAAAATAGGACAAAATTACCTGACAGATACTGTTGCAGGGAGCGCTTTTCGTCTTGATATCCCTATACAGAGTATATAAGTAACACTATGTTAAAATTATTTTGAAGTTAAAATGGTGAGCACAAACGTAAGAGTTCAAGCATGGTAAAAAAAAAGTCATTTGGCATTACATGTACATTCAGGGTAAATGTTTTTGTCATACAATGACATTTTAGACACAATTCTTCACTTTGGGATTGTATAAAGGAAAGCTGAACATTTTTCGGCACTAAAAAAAATCATTTGATGTCTAAAAACTTTTGCATGATGTGTTGACAGAAGACTAAAATGGCACATGTACCTTAAGGTCTTGCGTCATATTGTGGTAATACAATCTTGAAAATGCCAGGTGACCCATCTGAAACAACAGCAGAAAAGAACCAGCAACAAAGTTAAATCTTTTTAGGCTTGAGAAATCTGAGACACAATGACTCCATATGATAAAAGTACTGTTGGAGAACATACCCTGATGAGTTTAAGTTCTGCTGTTCTGAGGCAGGTTTGATTCATTCCACACTTTCTAACCCAGTGAAGACAACTCTTCGCAAGATAAAACAAACTGTAAAAAATAACATAAGTCATGCTACTGAAGTGGTATGCACATTGTACTGCAAATCCCCTTTCTGACTAACACAGAGCTGCAGTGAAATTATAGCAATATGCAGTTTTGTACTGGGTTTCTATGCATAAAAAGTTGATCTTAACTTTCAAGAACAATTATGCAGTTAGACATGGCAGTTACTGGATTGCTACATATATATCGACCTACATGAAGAAACACAACCATAACACAATGAGTGAGGAGGGCTAAATACATGCAGCTGCAGCCCTTTGCACACATTGCCATCAGACAATACTGACAATATTTTGTAGGAAGATGATCCAAATATTCAAGTTATTGCATACCTGGGAAGCTGATCAATGGTAGGAGGAGCATGTCCCAGAGAGGTGATCAGCAATTCTAGAGATTCTGTAATTTTAACAAAAATAACATATTAAGATCTGAGGTTCTTACATGTATCTAGAGGACCCTCACTGTAAACATCTCAGCTCTAACCTTCTTGTACTTGTCTATTCGTACACTGCGCGAGCAATCCCAGCTCTGTCCATGACTTTGCCAGGTCAACATGGTCTCCTTTACCACCAGCCAGAATACCAGCTCTTCTCTACCAAAAAAAAAAAATTGTCAAAATGTGAAACAAGTCTGATAAGGAGCCATCTTGTCTCACATAGCTGGGACAATCAAAACTCTGGTTTCCATAGCTACCATTACATTTAAAGAAACATAACTGTTTAGTCCCCCTGGCTTGCTACATATGCCAGATTGTTTAGGTCACATGTACGAACTCTTATAGTATTCAGTAAAGTGTTTTGATTGTCCATAATAAATACCTTTGCTCTGGAGATCATTTTAAGGGCAAAGCCCTCAAGTTCCTTTCTGTCCTCTTCATTGCTGTCATTGAACTGAAAACAATAACAGAAAAATAATAAGAAGACATGTCTAAGTACTGGCAGTTCTATTGCAGATGTTTAAGATCTGTTTCACTGTAAAATGGAAATCTGGAAAATCACCAATTTTACCCTCTTCACCCAAAAAATGTTGCCAAAAGAAGAACTCTGTTGATTAAATAACTAAAAATGCATCAAATATTCCAAAACTTCCACAAACAAAGCCAAAAATTGGCCAAAATAATCTGTTCTTAATACGCTTTTCTTTGTCGCGGCGTTATGTGCAACAGAGCACGAAGAAGATAGGTGAGGTGAGGTGATGCTTTTCTTTGTATCCGAGAGATTTGGTGACCTGTACAGAAGACCGGGAGATTTACAGTCATAGACGTGGCATAGACATGTAAGTCAAATTCTCCCACACTCCAAAAACTACCCCCTTTGCTACTTGCGTGTTACAACGTATACATGTTTCAATTCCTTTGTTTACATACATGTAAACTACTACATTATTTTGCAACTTAATGCAGATTAGTTGGAAAGGGCTTGCGTGAATTTAATATATTATTAAGTGAGGGAATCATCTTCAACTGGCTCACCTTGGCAATAAAATCCTCTGTAACTTCAAAGGGTCCTCTTCTAATTAACGACAAAAAAATTGAAGATAATTAAAAAAAAGACCTTAAAATGGCACCACTAAAATAGCTGTTGTTTTTATATGATCATTAACATAAGAAACGTAAAAGGGTCTATACACAGTCTGGTGTTTCTAAATTTAGACGCAAAGACAATGTATAATAACAATCCAGAAACAGAAATAAAATTCCGGGAGCTGATCATTGCGCAGATAACACCAAGGAAAAGCCGAGCCACTTCAGTACAACTGTTTTCGATGTAGCCTTGCTTAATGTAGTTGTTCCTAATTTTCTCACCTTGTTCTAGAAAATGTACGTAGAGGTTCAGTGGCTAGAGATTTTCTAGCAAGTCTATCTTCCAAAGCCAGGCGTTGAGTGTGTGATATGATCCCAAACTTGTGAACCACTGGTACACGCTCCACGGGCATTTTTCCACGAATGAAGCGACTTTTTTCCTGTTCAATTTCTCTCCAACGATTGCTTTTCCTCCAGTGCACCACAAATAGCTTTTAAACATCTACTTTCGTCCCCATTGTTGACTTCATAAAGGTAGAAACTCTGATCTCGTAAAATGCTCTTATTCTCAGGCCGCCATATTGCTTTTTTGCCGTTGCCCTAGCAACAGGTGCAATGCTTACTTGGAATCCTGGGACGTTCGAGGTTCGCGCGGGCAAATGCGGCGGCCCTCAAGGGCAAGCACTGCATGGAACTGGCCGAACGCCTGTTTACACATAACAGAATAGCAGACTGTTCACAGCCTCTCTATTTTTTCAACGCAAGCGAAAGACGAGGCGAGCGAAGAGAGCGCGAACGCGAAGCACGAAAAGGTGGGGACGGGGAGGCGAGCGAAGCCACAGCGGACCCCACACAAAACAGAGACGCCGCTTGTATGGAAGCCCCGTGGCGAAGCGAGCCAAACGAAGAATAGCTCCCCACGGAGCTCCCAACGCTGTCAAGTCTCCCGTTTTGCGCTGGTGTCCAGTTCCGCGATTTCGTCGCGATTCTATCCACGCGTTCAACGATCGAAAAAAATACGAGAAAAAAGAGGACTGTAAACAGTGTATGCGCAACAGTCGAAATGTAAGGATTTGTATGGGGAAAAAACGGTCATATTCTTAAGCCTAAAAAATACAACGGATTACGAATAAAGACCAACCAACCTTGCTTCAGGATTGTGTTCCCTTGTTTCACGTGAGGTTTTTTTTAGGCCGATTAATGGCCATTTAGGTGGTTTTTAACTTCACTGCTTTGTCTTCTATCCTTCTTTCCATGAAATGATGAAATAGGCCAAATGGACAACAAAAACTAGAGAAGGTGAGTATGTTGATTTATTTCAGTCAAGAGAAGTAACATTTTATTTCATCGCGCGATTTTATCCTTCGTTATTTTAAACTTCATACAAATGCCTTATAGAGCGCTCAAATTCTCAGCGGCCCAAAGTGTAACACA